GGAACGGTTGTGTGCCGATATACGAGCCGTTCGACCGCCTCGAGGGGTCCCCCTCCCCCCCTTCTTCCGCTTTTACGACCGACGAATTGCTGACAAGAGGGGTCCAGTGCAGGGGACTCCCTAACACGAGAGCAGTCAACCTGAGCCCTGGGATAATAAACATTTCATTTGCATTTTTCATATTTTTCGTTGACCCGACTCCAAGGACTGCTGTCCCCTAGCTAGGGGCATCGACACTATGTAGCTAAGACAATATTCCATTATATATATTTAAAAAAACCGTTTTGTCTGCCTCAGATGATGATAAAACGTGAGAAAACTGTTTCTACCCTATTTCCCCCTACAATTCCCCTATTGGAAATAGGGGAGGAAATGAGTTTTGTTGGTTTTTATTTCGGCAAAAATTTTTGATTCTACGAATTGTGAACTTTATTTGATTTTTCGTAAATTGATCGATTTATGGCATCTAGGGGAAATCAATTCAATTCCTTTAGCTGGCTACATAATCTAGGGGACATAGGAGAAAATTGTGTTTCAGAGGCACAGGGGAGAATCAATCAATTGTGACAGAATTGGATATAAATTCTCTCTTGCCGTTTCCTAATTTATAGATTTTTGTCGTCTAGGGGAAATTCGAAAACAAATTGGTTCTAGGGGCATAAGGGTAAATGGTATAGGGGAAAAATCGATCAATTGTGTTAAAACTAAATATAAAATTCATTCATTTCTCTATTGATTGATTTCTACCATCTAGGGAAAATTAAAGACAATCAAATTTCTAGGGGCATAGGGGAAGTCAACAAAGCACGATAAAATAAAAAATGAAATCCTTTTCAGTAAATCTTCCAGCAATTGATTAGATTTTGTCATTTAGGAGAAAGCGGGGCAAAATAATGTTCTAGGGGGCATAGGGGAAATCAAGTGTCTCATCTCGTACAGGTTGTAATAAAAATGAATATAAAATTGCGAAAAAAAGTGACATTTGAACCGATGATGTTTGTTGGATGGTATGAGGCACAGGTTCCCACAACGCTGGTCTTGATTTATCGGCCTGCCACCCGAGCGAACCGCTGTCATCATCCACGTCTCTCCGTCCCCCCTACCTCCTACCTCCCACCCCTAGTCCCCCCTGGATTCCCTTTTTATCTCCAGAGTTAACTCTCATCGTTTCCGAGCTACTGTGGAAAATCTGAGAATCACTTTCACTGCGCCGATTCCACTAATTCACATTTTCTCGTTGATTTTTGTTTCTTTTTTCGTTTTGGCATTTGTTTAGGTTTGTGGGATTCAATTATCAAGGGGAGGAGATAGGGGGAGTTGGCTGACTCATGAAGGCATAAACTACTTGAGAGGAGGAACCAACTACCACTCATGAAAATTTATTTTTAATCGATTTTGTGAATTATTTCCAATGATGGAAATTGAATCGATTTTTTACAGGAGATAGGGGTATAGGGGGGAGAGGGCTCTTACGTGAATAAATTTTTTGAAAATGTTAAAACAATTTCTTCTTTTGATTTTGAATTCGTTTGTCAATGAAAATCAGGATGAAAGGATAAATGACCTTGGGGGCAGGGGATAGGGGAAAGGTCTTCCCCTATTTAGCGATTGGCGACCCTTGCTTCTAGTATTTTTCTGTCATGATAGTGAGTTAAGGGAAATTAACGACTTCCGGTAAGAAATAGGGGAAGATTCTCCTTCTACCCTTCTTTGATTATTCCCCTAGCCCTCCCCTATCCGAGGAATAGGAGAAGGCGAGAGCTCTATTACGGTTATTAATATGAGAGAGACTATTAGTGAGAAATAGGAGGAGTCAATTTCTACTACTTTTGTTTATCCTTCCCCTATCTAGAGGGACAAGAGACGAATAGGGGAAAATAGGGGAAGTCCAGGATAGATTTTCCCCCTATATTTAATCCTGTCTGCTTTAAATAGGAGAAGACGGATAAGGATCATCCAGGAGAAGATTCTAGTCATACTATATGAGAAAGATAGGGGACAGGATAGGGGAATAAATCTTGGAGGAAATGGTTCTTCTCTTCGGGGACTTCTGATGCAAGTGCGGTAGAGGAGGGGAATTTACTCGTGATGTGGGCTGAAGGGGAGATATAGGGGAATCTAGGGGTGTCCCGTATCAGTCCTAAAATAGGGGGGATAGTAGGGAGACCTAAGAGAAAAATATTGGGAAATAGGGCAGATAGGGGATTCACATTCGCATACAATAGGATCCATAGGGGCGGATAGGGGTATCTAGGGGGTCATTTTCTCCTATCCCATTTCAGCCTGTTTCAACCCAAAAAAAATAAAAATTTCAGATTGAAAAAAAATCAGTTCCCCTTTCCAAGCCCTTATCTCATCAAAACCTTTTTTTTATTTCATTCCTGCCCCAAAATAAATATTTACGTTCGTATTTAATGACAAGAATTATCACTCAATTCACTTCAATCAAAACTTCAAAGGAAGAGAGCAAAAAAAAAGAGGAAAGGATTCGTGTCAAACGGTAAAACGTCGGAGGTAAGAAAAAGATGATTTTTAAAGATGGAGACGTATAGCGGCCAGCAGCTCGTAAAAAAGTAGAGGGCCCACTTCATCTTTGTCTCTCCACTAACACAGACTCCATCGTCGTTCTGAACTTCATGAATATAAATGTATGATAAACCATAAATGAGAATTTCTTCGGTGGTATGGACCCATGGGCGCCTTCCTCAGCTTCCCACGTATTATTTTTTATTTTTCAACAGTCGATATTTTTTTTTCGCTTTCTTCTTCACTTTAGGGGGGGGGGCGGGGGGTTGAGCCCTTTCTAACCAACGAATTTTAAATCGCCCACCGGGAAGGGATACACTGTTCCGATGGTTTACCAATTTTTTGATTATTATTATTTTTTGGCAATTGAAAAAATGAAAAATATTTCATTCTTCAGAAAAATATGATATTGGTTGTAAAATACATTTCCACGCGACGAATTTTTTTTTTCGATTTTTGAAATTGATTTCTCTCGGAGAAAACGTTTTTTTTGTGTTTAAAAATAATTTTTTGAAGGGAAAAAAATTAAAAATAAAATTTTCTGCTCTTTTTTTTCAATATTGGAAATCACTTCACGTAAAAAAAACGAATACATTATTGTCGTGACCCTCACTGACTTGCGTGACGCTGAGTGATTACCAAAGAGTTCAAAAAAGCGAAAATAAATTCGCCGCCCAAAAGCGAAAATAAATTCGCCATAAAAATTGAAAACGCTTTTAGAATTCCTCGAGTTAACCCAAAAATTGAGGGTTGGGGGGGAGAAAAAAACTAGCCGAAGGCGAGTGAATTAAATAATTAGCATTGAAACGTCTAATTTGTATTGTCAGGGTATTATTGACGTTTAAAGTAAACGAGTGCACGGCCCCTTTTTCATTTTCTCTCCGTTGGAGAAAAAAAAAGATATTGATTCTGTATTTTTTCATATGTTCTGCTGAAATTATTTTTCAAATTATAATTTATTGAACTGATTATAATTCACAATTTATTTATTATGCGTATGATTAAAGATATGTTATATTGAATGAATGAATGAGAAAATGAATAAGAAATTATACTAAAATTATTCATGTATTTTTCTTCGTTATACGAATAAAAGGAATTGAATAATCGTTTTTTAAAAAGGTGCCTAAAAAGGATGGGCGGTGTTGCGACTTGGAGAGGTATTTGGAGAGGCATTGTTTCTCTTTAAATTCTAATTCAAAGGCGATAATGAGCAGGTCATTATTAAAAAATAAATGAGAAATTGCTTTCATTACGGCATAGTTTATATATTTTTGCTAATAAATTAGCAATTTGCTTCAAAATGGAATTTCTATGACAATGTATTTTAAATTCAATTTAATGAGTCATTTTGTTCAACCTTGGCCCAATGTTGGCAGCCAACATTAAGCCAATGTTGCCCGCTAACATTGCCCGTCACCATTGTCCGCCAACATTACCCGCCAACATTGACCACCAACATTGCCCGCCAACATTATCTATCAACATTGTCCGTCAACATTGCCCGCCAACATTGTCCGTCAACATTGTCTGCCAACATTGTCCGCCAACATTGCCCACACGTTAAATTCTTTTATATTTCCCTGAACACTAGTTTCAAAATAATTTTTTTCACCAACAGATGATACAATCAATCTCATGATCGAACTCGGTCAAGATGGCATTGAGAACAATATTTTAAATCACAATTGGATTCACTTCAACTATTACTTTTTCCGATATTGTCGAAAAACCATCCGTCACTTACATCCGGACATGGTCTAAAAATAGCATCTTCAAACTCCTGACGCCAATATTATTATCCTGACACAAAAAATTGTAAATTTCAGATTTTGACGATTACAATACTTCCATTCGAATTTAAAAAAAAAAATAGAAAATGACCAGAAATTGTTTAGTAACAACCTGATACCCACCAGTGTATCCCCGACTAAGCCTCCGTCGAGGAAGGGAGGACGTCGAAAGAGAGGGGAAATTGGGTAGTCGGGTCGTTCCACTGTGTGTGCAAACCCAAGGAGTTTAGAAGTCTCCATCGCTTCATCTCGTGTAGCCACACGAAGGCTCTAACGGGCGCGTGCTCTTCGCGTTTAACTCTTCTACCCAACCCGTTCTGCCCCAGAACAAAAATTTCAAGTTCGAAATCATCGGAGTTGCCTTGCAAATGCATCAGTGATCATTAAAAAATTATCTCAATTTTTTTTTATATTCCTCTGACAAATTAATTTTCAAGGTTTAAAATATTTTTTTTGTTTATAAAAATTATTGTAAAATGAGTGAAAACTATTTTTGAATATTTTCTACTTTAACTTTTCGACATTTTTTAAAAACGATTTTTTAATTTTTGTCTTCAATTTTTTCATAAAAATTTTAGTTTTTTTTTTCGTTTTTAACAATTTTTTTGTCCTTGGAAATTGTCTGAACGTAAAAAATTATAGGATCATTCGCGAAAAGGTGGGGAATGGTGTGAAGAAACAATGGGGCTGAATAATTATTTATTTGTGCTTGTAATAATAATTTTGAGTGTTGCCAACGGTGATGATGCACTTGAACACATGAAAAATCATCGGAGTGATCGTCCAATAAACAAGAGTGATCTTCCCATGAACATACTGCAACCAGAGTGTCAGATATCGGCAGAACTCCAACCTGGGAACGTATCAAAGTGAGTCTTTGATATACAAACAAAGCATTATTCCTATTTCTGTCATGTCGTGTGAATGGAGAAAAATCAAACTGACGGGGATAATTGATTAAATAATCAACGGACATCTCTTCGAAGTTTGACAAATTCCATCGGGGGATAACATTAATTTTTTCAAAAATTTTTGAAGATCAGATTGATGAATTGATTGAAGAAATAGCGAGGGGAGAGATAATACGAGAAGCTTTTTTACTACTTTTTAAAAACGGAAGTAAGGACATAAGGAGTGGTCCTAGAAAAAATGTGTATAAACCTTTTTTGTTGAGAATTAAATTTCCGATAAAAAGTCATTTATCATATTTTTACTCAACACTACTCATTAACGAGATAAATTCAAAATTAACAAAAAAGTTCGTCATGAACTTTTTTAGACATCGCCATTTGACCTGTCCGTTAAATCTCCATTTATCTCAGGAACGAGTGTTTCTGCGGCAAAATGTCATAAAATCTTCTTCGTAGAGAATTAAATTTCACATCAAAAAGATAGTTACACATTTTCGGCTAGAGGCAGTCGTTACCGAGATAATCTGCTGTTAACCAATCTGAAAAATCGAGTTGAGCTGATGGATGGAAATGTCAGCGATGTTAAAAATGAAGAGGATCACCTCAGGATTTTTATACAGTGGAATATCCTCGTCACATGTCGTGTGATGCTAGATTTAGAACGTCGGGGGTTCGTGAAACAGACGACCCCAGACGCCGCGACGCCGGCATTGTGTCCCGTCGCTAATTTTACAATGGTAACAACACCGTAACTGTCTCCAGAAGTTGCCAGTACCTTCCTAACACTCTCTGAGGAGTCGTTACCACGTGATCATGATTTAACATCAAATTTGTTTTAAGAAGTAGCATCCCCAACATAAGAACCATCCGCGTTATTTAATATTCCACTTTTTAATGCAAAAAAATTATTTTTTTTTACATTGAAAAAATATTTTTCAATAGTTCGTCAATCATAATTATGAAAAAGAAAATATTCATATGTTAGAAATCATGATTGAGTCCTTAATGTGAAGGAATAGTACATTTTAGGACAGAGTTAATGCCGAAAGAAAATTTTATATTACAAGTGCAAAAAACGGCTTTTCACACTTCTCTGGAGTGAAAGGGACAATAAGTCGGAAACCGCGGAGTGAAATTTTCCTATTTTGCTTTCGTTTCAAAGGTATTTTTTTAAGCTTCAAAATGAGCCTTGACTCGTCCAAATCGTACTATTTGATCAGGAGTTATTACTGATTAAAGGGGGTGGTATTGAGCCCATTCTTTCGTATCGCGTTACAAGTCCATAAAGTTGCACTTTTTCCTCCGCGCGCGTAATTTTATTTTATCATGCCACGTGAATGGACTGTGATTTTTATACATCGCATGCGAGAAGCGAGGATTTTTAAACCGCCGAGCCGTCCGGAAAAGTGAATTTTCCAAACAGGGACCATAAAAAACAGTTTTTCATCACGCTGTGTATAAAGTGACGTTTTAAGCGCCCTTTTTCACGAGTGTCAGAAGGTATTTTTCAGATTACACAGAGCGAGATGAAAATGTAGTTCCCAACACTCAATGTTATTGAAAACTCGTTTATCTCACACCGATAGGGAACGTAAGACTTTACGGACTCCTTCTGGATCGTAATCTTGTACTTTACGGCCTAGACCGTGAAATCCCTTCCACGGACTTAAACTATTCGCACTCAATCCCCAAAAAAAATTGTTTTTGTTGTGTCGGGATATAGTATTTCAGTACCTGGCCCAAAAAAATCACTTTTTCAGGCGGACGACTAAAAATTATTTTTTTTCCTTTTCAAGTTTAATAATTGCAATATTTGAAAGTTGAAAATTATTTCAGAAAAACCGCTCGTAAAATCTCAGTTTACACACAATAGGACGAAGAAGGGTTCTTAACCCTCAATCTCATTAAAAACTTGTTTTTCTCACACCGATACGAAAAATAGTACTTTAGGGGCTCTTTTGGTATCGTAACTGTGTATTTTACGGCCTAGGCCGTGAAATCCCCTTCACAGACTTAAACTATCCGAACTCAATCCCCAAAAAACCCTATTTAAGTTGTGCGGAAATATAATTTTTTAGTACGAGGCCGAAAAAGTCCACTTTCTCGGACCGAATACCACAAATTTGGTTTTTCTTTCAAATTTGCCAATTACAATGCAAAAAATACAAAAAAAATGGCCAAAGTTTTAGGATTTTTTAAAGTTTGAAACACAAAAAAAAATTCTTTCTTCTTATCAAAAAAAATTCTAAAAATTATTTTACCCGAAAGAAACACGAAAATCCGAAATTGTGACACAGAATAATTCACCGAAAATGTTAAGTAGACGCTGAAAAATATTTGTTTTGCATTGAGGGTGGTCCACTCACTTTAATCATCAAAAAGCGAATGACTTTGTTCTGGATATGTCTCGTGGCAAGACCGGAAGGGAGCCTCATGTTTTTTACGGGGCAACTAGCCAAGCAGACGCGCCACAGAGTCTAAACGTTCCGACGTTTTGGCTCTGCACTGGCAACTCCTCCCCATTCTTCCCTCGTTTTCTTCAACAAAAAAAAAAATATATCAAACAAGAATTTATCACTCGTTAAATCACATGCTCCAATCAGTCAACACCCGCTAAAGTTATTCTAATAATTGTAATAACAACTTCATCGAAACAATTAAAAAAATATGACCCGTTTTGCCCCATTATATTAATTAAATTTTCCAATTAATTTTATTTTCTAATTCATTTTTTCTTAATTTCATTAAAAAATGAAATTAATACAAATTTTATTTTCCGATTTTTTTAGAATAGTGGGGTAAAACGGGTCGTCCTTTTTGAGGTCATCGCTAACCCCAAATTTTCAATTTTTTTATTTCCGCTTTTTTTCTCCGAAAAATTTTAGCAATTTTTTTTCTTCAAATTTATTTCATTAATGTTGATGATTATTCAGATTTTATTACCTGAGTCATCGTGATGGGGAGCCCCTGACAATTCTGGTGACCCCATGTTCGGGTCCCGTATCCTGGACAGTGACATCAGTCAAACCACCGGAGGACAATCGTCAGCAGGGTGACGAGACAGGCTGTAAGAAGCCCCAAAAATCTCCAAAAATCATTCCCTCATGTAGTCAGAAAAATTCCCCCAAAATGAAGAAAAGACCCATTTTGCCCTATTATTAAAAAAATCATCAATTAAATGCGAAAAAAAAAAATTTGAAAACAGTTACAATTTTCCAAATACATCAATTCAAAATCATTTTCATCTCCCATCCCCTCAATTTTATTTTAAAAAACTCGATAAAGTTCCCGTAATTCACTAATGATAATTACCCCAGTAATCAATAAAAATTATCATAAACGATAAAGACCTCGATAAACCAAAATGGCCGAGATATCTCCACACAAGGGGAAAAAAACTTGATTTTTACGAATTAAGTTGATGCGTGACCAATAAATATCAATGATATTCCTGTTTTGTAATTTGTTTGTTAAGCACTGTCACGATGGCCAGTTAATCAACTTATTCCTGGATCATCACCGTTATTCAGTTACGATGGTGATGAGGCACAAAACTTTACGATTCCATGTGTACAAGCTGGCTTGTACCGTCTTGAGATAAAAACACCGGTTGATAGTAACAAGATGGTGGTTATACCAAAGACGGTGAATCTTTATGCTACATCTAGTGCACTCGATCATCTGCCAATATCTTATGAGAATACAAGGGGAAAGAGACACAGGTCATTGAGATTTCAACCGAGGAGAAATCGTAGGAGACTCACTGTTTCTTGGAGCAAGAGGTAATTATTAGAATGTTTCATTTTTTGGGTATAAAAATCATGAATTTTGCCTCCAAAGAAATGTTTCGTTGGACATATGCCCCACTGCCACTTAAAATGTGTCGATGATCATTGAGAAGTCATCGTAACATGCATCGCAGAAAAAAAGGAATTTTTACGATGAAATAAAATTATTTTTTATCACTTGTGCGTAAAGGGACATTTTACGCACGCTCCGCGTACGCAGTATCCCACTTTCCGGATATTGTGGTGGAAAATAGGGTTTTACACGAGTGGGAAAAGTGGTCTTTGACCCCTGGGAGGGCAGCTACACACCTCTCACGGGTCAAAATGGTATATTTTGATACGAGTGCGTAATAGTGTTTTTTCATCACACTCTCCGTAACACGTCGTTTTACGGACAGTTCGTGTCCGAACACCCGAAAAAAAACAAGGTCTTCGTGTCGAATAATTTTTCTGAAAAGTTTTTGCCAGCCTTGTGACGAAAATAGCTATTTTTTAAACTTGCGCGATAAAAAAACACTTCCTGTGGCGAACGCTACCCTCCCAAGGGGGAAAGAACACTTTTTCCACAGGTGTCAAGCCTTATTTTTCATCACAATATGTAAAAAGTGTGTTTCTACGCACACGGAACATTTTACGCACACGAAAATTGCACTTTACGCACACGTGATGAAAAAACACTTTTACGCACTCGTATCGAAATATACTACTTACTCATATGGAGATTTATACACGATAATTGCTTCAAATCCATTCCACCCACTCATCCGGTCAAAATAAAACTTTGGGTTCGGGTGTGACAAAATGGAACATTATACAACTAGGGCGTAAAAATCACCAATCGCCAACCAGATTTTTTTTCTGTGTGTGTTGCACATGAGGTCAACGGGGAGAAAAGTATCAACTTTGTGGACACGTGTGACAAAATAGTATATTTCGTTACGAGTGCGGAATTACTGTATTTTGATACGAGTCCGTAAAAGTGTTTTTTGACGCATGGGAGGGGTGTAACGCTCGAAGGCGATTCAAGAATACTTTTACAATGAGTGTCAAACGCCATTTTTCATCACAATGTGTAAAAAATTTCACTTTACGCACATGCAGTGAAAAAATGGTTTTTGTCGTGTGCGATGCGTTGCACTCGACGAAGGTCAAAGAACACTTCCCACGAGTATCGAGCTCTATGTTTCACCTAAACGCGAATGAAGTGGAGCTCCGCGTCCACAAAACGTAACTTTACACACAGAGTGATAAAAAACGAATTTTGGGCACTCGCCAAGGGCGAGTGTAAACCTTCCACAATTGAAAGAGAACTTCATCCCCTGGGAGTAAAAGGGCTATCAAACCCTTATTTTCATCACAAGGCACCTGAATTGAGGGTCTGGCACGCGGGCAGTGCCTAAAAAGTCACTTTACGCACGCCATAAAAAAAATCCCTCTCTTTCGTTGTTCGTAAATATCTCTGGAGATAATGACCCAAAGTGGATCGCTTTTTTTTCACCTCCAGCGAAATTTTCCGATCCGTCGAATGGGGTCCTTTTCGACCCCCAATTCCGACTGTCCCAAGGGGTAAAAACGGTGTTTCTTGGATAACTCACGGAAAATTGATTTTATCTTCGCAGTCACGTGGATCCACACCTGTCTACCTACTGTCTGGCGGTGACATCGGGCACTTCACTCCACCCACCCACCCTCTGTGCAGCTAAAAATGTCTTGGTGAGTCACTCACACTCGGGACGCGGGAGCTCCTCCAAGGAGCACGTACACAAAGGCAATCCCACTGGTCTTCATTGCGTCCATCAGACACGAGTCACTCTTCATGGACTTGTGTATGATACTACGTACAATTTTACACTCTACGTGGTGTGTATGACCTTGAAATTTATTATCAACTTTATCTAGATTTTTTCTCATTTTTTTCAGACATAAGAAATCATTTTTTTATGAGACTGGACTGGACTGGAAAATTTTTTCTATGAAATTGAAAAAAAGATGGCCCGTTCTGCCCCCGAATTCCTAAAAAATAAAAAAAATGAAAATGTTTACAATTTCGTTTTTTGACTATATTTTAGTGAATAATCGGGCAAAACGGGTCATCTTTTTTTTATTTCGTGAGAAGTTTTATAGTCTATCGAATGGGGGTGTTCAAACCCCTTTCAAAATTTGTTTGCAAATTTTTTTTTGTTTTTTATTGATTGATTATTTGACAGGTGAACACGCGGAATAACCTGTCAACAAGAATAGCTGCCGAGTCTCTGAAATACAAGAAGACGCAAGCACAAGTGCTCCTCACAGGCCGCTACGTAACCGCGAAGTTGCAGAAAAATTTTGGAATTGTGAACTTTCGGTATCAGCCGCATTATAATGAATCCACAGAGTTTCATGTATTACCTTGTGGGGGTGGGGTTGTCAGGGCGAAGCTCAGGGGCCCTGATGGAATCACCAGAGTAAGGGCGAAATATTTTTTTGTTACATTTTTTTTATTTTCAAAAATTTTCCGAGTTTTATTGTATGTTTTTAATTCTTTCGCATTTCTTTGGATTTTTTGAAATTATTAACATTATTTCTAAATTATCAGTTTTTCCACATTTTTTCAATTTTTTCAAATTTTTGAAATTTTTAAGAAATTTCAAAATTTCTACATTTACTTGAATGTAAAATTTTTTTTTTACATTTTCCAAAAATGAAAAAAATTTGCATTATTTTTTTTTCATTTTAAAATTATCAAAATTTCCTCTTTTTTCAAAAATTGATAAAGGCTTTTAACTCTCTGATTTGTTATCAATTTTTCAAACATTGAAATTTATAAAATTCCTAATCTTCACAAGTTTGAACTATAATTACCATTATTTCCGAAGCATAAGAAAGAAGTCAAGACCCATGAATTGCTGAAGGCGCCTGCCCTAGAGAAAGGGAAGAAGTACACCCTGAGGATTTCCGCTGCTCCCCAGGAGCTCGGAAGAGAGTTATCGGTGAAGGTTCTGGCGACGCAGGCTGGCACCATCGAATATCCAGAGGTGAATTTCCACAACAATCAAGTCAAATTTCCTTCTCCCACCTTTTCAACATCAATTTTGTATTGCTCCCCCATTTCAAACGTTCAAAAATGCGAGGTAGTTGACAGGTAGGCGCCGCCATTTTGCTCCAAAGATGGCTGCGCTTCCACCTCGGATTTTTAAACAACTCTGGTAATTATTTCTCCTCTTCAGATCACCGTCGACTCGCTTCATCAGGTTTCTATGAAATGAACAAATTTCTAAAACCATCTTTCAGATTTTTCCATTCACTTTTGTCTGAAAATTCACGGCGCAAAGTTTCCCACATTTCAGTAGTTTTTTTTTACTCAAGAGATCAGAATGGGGTCATGATTCTGACTTATGAGGTCCGTATGAAGCTCAGAAAATTCCCCAGTGACAGTAATTTTACGAGTGTCATCACAATCCTTATTTAAACGGCACGTACACGTCATGACGTCATTTTTCGAAAGTTCTGTCACAATTATTGAACGGAATATCCTAAATGTCTCGAATATATCGCTAATATTTTGAAAACTTGTCACACTCCCGACTAAGTGTATCACCTTATTTGTCTACGCTCACGTCATGGAGGCGCGCAAGCGCGCCGTCAGACTAGCCTATTTAAAAGTCACGTCAGTGACGTCAGAACATAATTTCTCGAAAGTTCTGTCACACGAATATCGAACTCCTGACTGAGTCTATCACTTTATTTGTCTATTCTCACGTCATGGAGGCGCGCAAGCGCGCCGTCAGACTAGCCTATTTAAAAGTCACGTCAGTGACGTCAGAACATAATTTCTCGAAAGTTCTGTCACACGAATATCGAACTCCTGACTGAGTTAATCACCTTATTCGTCTAATTTCACGTCATGGAGGCACGCGCAAGCGCGCCGTCGTACTAGCTTATTTAAGAAGTACGTCAGTCGCGTCATAACATCATTTCTCAACCGATCTGTCACACGAATATCGAAATGAATATTACAAATGTCTCGAATATATCGCTAATATTTGCAAAACTTGACACACTCCCGAGTAAGTTTATCACCTTATTTGTTTACGTTCACGTCATGGAGGCGCGCGCCAGCGCGCCGTCAGACTAGCCTATTTAAAAGTCACGTCAGTGACGTCAGAACATAATTTCTCGAAAGTTTTGTCACAGGAATATCGAACTCCTGACTGAGTCTATCACTTTATTTGTCTATTATCGCGTCATGGAGGCGCGCCAGCGCGCCGTCAGACTAGCCTATTTAAAAGTCACGTCAGTGACGTCAGAACATAATTTCTCGAAAGTTTTGTCACAGGAATATCGAACTCCTGACTGAGTCTATCACTTTATTTGTCTATTATCGCGTCATGGAGGCGCGCAAGCGCGGCGTCAGACTAGCCTATTTAAGTCACGTCAGTGACGTCAGAACATAATTTCTCGAAAATTTTGTCACAGGAATATCGATCTCCTGACTGAGTCTATCACCTCATTTGTCTATTATCACGTCATGGAGGCGCGCAAGCGCGGCGTCAGACTAGCATATTTAAAAGTCACGTCAGTAACGTCAGAACATAATTTCTCGAAAGTTTTGTCACAGGAATATCGAACTCCTGACTGAGTCTATCACTTTATTTGTCTATTATCGCGTCATGGAGGCGCGCCAGCGCGCCGTCAGACTAGCCCATTTAAGTCACGTTAGTGACGTCAGAACATCATTTATCGACAGTTCGGTCATATGAATATCGAATCGAATATCGCAAATGTCTCGAACATATGGCCAATATCTCGTCTATTATCTCATTCTTCTATTTTCACGTCGTGGAGACGCGCGAGGGACATAAAAGTCGTGACGTCATTTCTCGAAAGCCCGTCACACTCTCAATTGAGTATCATCTCATTCGTCTATTGTCACGTCATAGACGTGAGAATAGACTCCCGCGCGCCGTCAGCCTAGCTTCGAAAGACCGTAATTTTGCATGACGAAAATAACCCCCTAAAATCGTATCCCTCCCAAAAATAATTTCTCTTCAAAGCACAGGTACCCTTCAAGGAGCCTCCACGTGAGTTCAGGAAGGAGTGCAATGAGGTAACAATCGGCGTTGATCCCGTAGGAGCCGCTGAATACTGCATTCTAGCCCGGGAATTGCGTGGCATAACACCACTGAAACTGGCCGCCATACCCACTATTCCCGATCAGTGTGACCTCCACAGACGTCGGAGGTCCGAGTATTCCTTTGATCATTGTGTCAATCGCACAGATCCGCCCGGCAACAAAGCACAAATATTTAAAATCACTAATCTGCTGCCTGGCAAGTGGTATCAGGTGCAAATTACAGCGCAAATTCATGGACAATCGCTGTCTTATCCTTTGATCAAAGTTCGCACGAAGAAAAATTGTCCGCCTTCACCTCGATAAATTTGAATTTCAATTTTTTAATGTTCATGAAAATGAAACATAGAACAGAAATTTGATTATTCAAATTTTTTAAATTGGAGATTTTTGCAAAATTTTCCAGATAGTGTGATTTATAAAAATTTCGGACATTTTGAAATTTTTTGTTATGAACATTGGAAAAAATTTAAAGCTTCAAAAGAAGAATTTTTTAAATTTGATTTTTTTTCAAAAATTGAGATTTTTTCAACATTTAAAAATTTTTCAACGTTTTAAATTCTTTTAACATTTCGAACTTTTTCAAAATTTAAATTTTTTTTGCAAAATTTGGATTTTTTTGGAAATTTGTTTATTAAGTCTTTTAAAAAAAACTTTTCTAAAAATTTTTGAATTTTTTGAAATAGCTTAATTATAAACCCCATTGAATTTAATGAAGTTATAGAACGGAATTTGGAATAATTTTCTTAGTCTCTGTAAATACAAGAATGCCTGTGTATGTGTCTGTGAGTGTTGCCAATGTGTTTTCTACCTACTTACGTATTTTTGTACTCCCGAAAAAAAACATTGTAATTAAGAATAAAGAGAGGAAGATTAAAAAATTACGAACAATGATAAAAGCAGTGGAAATCTGTTAATAACCGTGAAACGATGCGTATAATGTAAACACTTGAGCCATCTGCTACATTTTCGCACGATGACTACGTCTGTGAGGAGGCGAGGCTCAGTTTTGCGGAGCTCCTCGTGCACTAAACATCTCGGAATTCCTAAGAAAAAAATAGTAAAAAAACAGCTCAACATATTAAAAAAATCTCCAGAAACTTGAATCATAAAGCATCCACTTCTAAATTCATTCTCCACTTCTTCCAATAATAAAAACTATTAAAGAAAAATTATAAATAAATCCTCAAAATTATAGGCAATATTAAAACTATGAAAAACAATTTTTATTAAAAAAATCAAATTCAGAATTTCATCGAACAGAATTTATTCGCATCTTCAAGTGCTTTTTATGCGTTAAAAACGACTCATCATCAACATTCTGACCCTCGCGACCCTAGAGAACAATCGCTCAACCAGAAAGAATTTAAAACTTCTAAAAATAAAATTTCCCAGAGTTTGAGGAAACTTTAGAACGAGGTCAAGTCGATAGAATATTTTAGGTAAATTCTGAAGTTTTTTTCGGCTGAGAAGGAAATGTCTAAATTACTTCGAAAATTTTAGATGAAAATCACAAACATGTCAAGTCGTAAATATTGAGTCCAATCATAATCGGGGGGTAAATCGCATAGATTAAAAATGGGGGTCAAATTGAATAACTTAAAACTGAGACCTGCGGGTCAAATTATGCGGGTGAAATCGTATAGATCATAACTGAGGGTCAAGCGTGAAGATTACAAGTGAGGGTCGAGCCTAAGGGTCAAATCGCGTGGGTAAAATCGAATTGATTGGTGAAATGACTTGGGTAAAAGCGAAGGCCTAAATGTGAAGGTCAAATCATAGATGGGTTGAAATATAGACTTGAGCTTGAGCGTTAAAATACGGGATCAAGTCTGAAAATATGGATAGAAACATAAAGCTTGAACTTGAGAGTCAAATCGTATACGTTAAAATACGTGTAGAGTATCAGGTCTGAAATTGAGGGCTTAAGCGTGAGGGTCAATTCGTAGGTTAAAATCGTGGGTTATGTCTGAGGGCCAAGTAATATGGGGAAGATGGAGAAATGGAGGGCTAGCCCTGAGAGTGAAATAATAGAGGTGAAATTCAAGGTCAATTCTGAAGGTCAAATAATATAAGTTGAATCTGAGGGTCAAATCATATGGGTCAAAAAGGAAGGTTAAATCTGAAAATATGGGTAAAACCGTCAGGCTTGAAATAAAGGATCAAATCATACACGTCAAAATCGAAGCTCAAGTTGGAAAATGAGGGTGAAATCGGATGAATTAAGACTAAGGGTCAATCCATCGGGTCAAATAGTATGGATTAAATCCGAGGATCAAAGTACACGAGTCAAAATGAAGGCCTAAAGGTCCTATATCTGTAAAATCGTATGAGTTGACCATTAGGGTAATCCCTGAGGATAAAATATTATGAGTCAAACCAGTGGGTAAAGCCTGAGGGTCAAATCATACGGTTGAAATTCTACAGATCCTACTGAGGGTCAACCGCGAGGGTGAAACCATCCAATAACCCCCCGAAGAATGAAAGGAGGTTTCGAAAGTGATCTAATCTACTTCTCCCCGACGTCGCGCCTGCTCTACCAGCTGCTGATCTACCCGATAGTGTCAGTAGGATTCCTGGGGAACCTGGGAGTGCTGATCCGGCTCTTCCTGATCCCCGGCAAGACCTGCCTGAAGCCTTTCTACAGGGCCTCCCTGATGTCCCTCGCCCTCTCCGATCTCCTCCTCCTCGGCACCACTGGCTCCAACCTCCTCGCGGTCCTGTCCTCCAGGACCATCCTCTGGAGCCTCGAGGAGTGGGCCTGCACGGTTCTGCCGTTCCTCCAGACTGTCGCTGTCCTCGTGGCGTCCCTGATCCTCGCGGGAGTCGCCATCGATCGATTTTCCGCGTTCAAACGGAAAATATCGATCTCACGGGGCCCCGGGTGGATTCCAACGGTCTCCTACGTTCTACTCGTCTGGAGTGTAGCTGCTGGAGCATCGTATCCAATTTTGGATCTATATAAACCTCAGAGTCTTCACATAATAAACAATTCAACGATTTATCGGTGGGTTTTCTGTGTTTAGAAATTTTTTTGCCGGGTTTGTTTGGCTTCTAACACGTGTGGGAAGTTTTGATTTGGAAGGGGGGCGGGAGGAGGAGGATGTTATTAGGGGCGATAGATGTCGAGACAATTAAGGTCAGAGTTCATTTTGATACAATTATTTCAGGGGTATTTTGTGCGTGAATGATCGGGAAAAAGCGAAAACCGCTTACATCGGTATCTTTGTCGTCATCTTCTTGCCTCTCACCATCGCCTTCCTCGCGGTACACGTCTTGCTGGCACTCAGTATCAACCAGAGGAAGGCTCCAGGGGAGTCTTCAAGGTCGGAGATTAATCTCTCAAGGGAAAATTCAACAGGTAATCGGGGAGAAACGATTTTGGAGGATGAATAAATTCAAATATATATTTTTTTCCCGCCAAAATCGGGGCTTAGTCAACGATAAATCAGCAATAAATAATCGCAATGCTCAGGTATGAACAATGCCTTCCACTTGTTTCAGCGTCCACCGATCTCGATCGCCCGAAACCGGGGATTCCCAAGATTAGGGTTCCCCTCCCGGCGCATGTGCAAAGAAAGCAAAGGACTGTTCGAGTGATCCTTCTCCTGATTCTCGTGTTCGTCGTCTGCAGGCTTCCCCAATGGACTTTTCTCCTCTTCAAGACACTCGTCGTGGTGCAGGGGTGGGTCTGGTGGCATCTCCAGGTCGTCCTCTCAACCCTTTCCCTCTTCAATGCCGCCATCCACCCGTTCTTGTACGCTTTTTTGAACGAGGCCCTGTCGATCGTCGACTGGGTTCGATTGATCTGCTCGAGGAATCGAAAGTCGATCGATATCGAGAGCACCGAGTCCAGAGTCAAGGAGAGGAGCTCCTCGGGAGAGGTTAAGATTCCCAGGGGGCCATACAGCCCTTAAATGATTTTCAACAAAAATATTATTTTGCAGTTCGATTTTTTATTGGAAAATCTAAAAATGTAATCAACAATAAATTATGGATTATTATCGATATTTCATTGAAAGTTTTTCTAATAATTCTTGCGATGATTTTTTGTGTGCCATTTAGCAAATGGAGAATTCTGCCCTATTCACTTGGAAGATATAATGAAAAAACAAAACTTTTTCAAATTAAAAAAAAAGGATTCTTGTTGTTTTGGTCTTTTTTCCAGAGATTTCGAAGAACAACCTTTTTGCTAATTTTAAGCACTCCTGGTGGCGCAATTGGTAAGAGCATCAGTCCCTTAATCTGAAGGTTGAGGGTTCAAAGCCTGCCACTGAATTATATCGGTTTCAATAAATGAAAAATTTCATTTTTTTACGTCTCTGGAGTTTATGCGACGTAACAGGGGATAAGGTAATTTTTTACCTCATAACCTTCACATTTTGCCCCATTACTTTGGAAATGTTTTGTTCTCCGTCTTCTTTTCCAAACTAATGGGACAAAATAGATTTTCTGTTTTTTTTTTAAGTTTTATTTTTCGATTTTTGTTTCAAATTCGAGGAACTCCTGGTAGCGCAATTGGTAAGAGCATCAGTCCCGTAATCTGAAGGTTGAGAGTTCAAAGCCTGCCACTAGATTATATCGGTTTCAAAAAATGAAAAATTTCCCAATTTTTTTTTTGTGTATGTCAGGAGTTTATGCCGCATAATGTATCGCCTTTATTTAGATTGGGTCATTTTCGACCCCATGATATTTTAATATTTTGCCGTGTCATGTTTAGAGTTCTGACTCTATAAGTTTTTTGAGGTTGTCTCCAGGACTCCCAGCAGGTTCGTGTCGCAATAGTTCGATGGCTCGCGTCAGGTGAGCAGTGGCGTCTTCTCCGGGACAGGATGAGAGTTCTCGAAGGGCTACGGCCGTATAGAGGGCCAACCTCCCGCCGTGCGGATCTAATATTGAGGTTGTTTCCAAGATTCTTCTGCAGATCTCGATTTTTTTTGGGTCTTCAGAGGGGAGGAGCTGAATGAGCGAGTGACCGACAGCTATGCAGTGCTGATGACCAGGATGCAGAAGAACGAGAAGTCTAAAAAATTTCAAGAACAATATTAAAAGGAGCATTATAGAATAAAAATTGAATTCTTTGAGAATTTTTTCATTTATTCTTCATTTCCATTGTTATCGTTATATTTATTTTTTTCTTTTCTTCATTTATTTATTTTTGTTTCATTTGTTTGTTTATTTTTATTTTTGGTTTTTTTTTCATTTGTTATTTTCCATTTTACCTGGAGTACAAATCACTTAGTGTTTCTTTCCTTGCCAAGGCCATTACATTTTCGACCTCTTCACCAAGTCTTTCCGTCAGCTCGAAGACTTCTTGCGATGTCAGAAGACCTGAAGAAGAACCAAATTCAATTTTCAAAATTTTTTGAGTCGAAAATTTTTCCGAGTGAGGATCAGAGGATTCTCACCTGGACACAAATCGCAGGACCACTCGGTCTCTGGGTCCAGTGGGTCTTTGGGGAGGATCACTCCCGCCCCGCAGGGGCACTTCAACGTCCCCAAGTGACTCCCCAACTCCGTCGGATCCTCGCATCTCCCACAGCGACAGGAGAAGTACTTCGTCGCTTGGAGGTGCTCGCGCCGAGCTCGAGTGGCCCATAAAACGTGGGTATAGGTCGTCGAAAGATGTTCACCCCTGAAAAATGATCAGAGTTCTGTGAATACGACGATATCTGGAACACGAAATTTTTCAGGGACTGCTCTACTACAAATCGTTTATAACGAGAGGGCGTTGTAGGTATTTTCTTCTTCACCCGAAAAAAATCGTACTTTTTAATCGGCTTAAGCGCCTTCACAACGATCTTCGGTCGTCCCTTGGAGTCCAAAATGAAACCGTGTCTCGTGTTCGCGAGGCACTGATGCTCCAGAAGGCAGGCAGTCTGGTATATCCCGACGGAGCCCTCCGGAGGGTTGGTCTCGAGTCCATTGACGTCAATCAGCCCACAGACTTTAGAGATAACGTCCCGCCCCATGGAGAACGCCTGGAGGATCGGCTCCAGCTGTTGGAAGACAGCTTCGGCCTCCTCATGGGCCTCCGTGCCTGGTCCCCTGGACTCTTCATGACTCTGGAGGGCTGACAAGGCCTCCCAACGCTTCGGACTCCTCTTCTTGAGGATCACCATCCTCAGTGGCAGCAAAATATCGCATCTGCAAATTCAAAAATCAATTCGCGGACGCAACGTGGATGTGAGCGCCACCAATACAATCGACTTTGATTCACTTTAACGTCGGATGACCCACCGCCGCCCTTCTAACGGCATTTTTTAATTTAATATCGATTTATTTCAATATTTTTCAATTGAACTGTGTTGCCAGATATTTTGGCGACAAGTCGCCGCATCTGGTAACTATGCCTCTAGTCAGGTGACGGAAGGGCACATTAGGGCTCTGCACAATCGGCGGCTGTATGATTAGGGTTTAACGTGGTTTCCCGAATTCCACCACTACTTACTATGGCACAATTCATCATTCCATTTTATTATGACACAATTCATCACAATCTATTTCATCACAAATTATTTCAGTACAATTCATTACAACATATCTCATCGGAATGTGAACTCATCACAAATCTATTCATCAGTTATAACATAACATTTTTAAATACATTACCAATTACCAACACGTTTGGCTCAATATAAGAACAGCATCAAAAACATGCGGAACGCATGATATTATTTATATAGTTGTCGCCCCGACAATGTAGAGATCAACTCAGATAATAATTATCAGGAACAATAGGGGCGATTTATTATTTCCAATCTTACATACGAATAAAGACACAAAACAAATCACACTCTCTCTCTCACAACAACCCTTAGTAACCATTCGAACCACATCATTCTCATTCTCATTCCAAGGGAGGGGAAGTGGATAGTTTAAATAACTCAATCGTAACAATATAATGAATAATGCTGCGATGAATTAATCATGTGATGAAAAATAATGTGACGAATTGTCCACGTGATGAATTTTCGTGATGAAACGTGCCGTAATATCACACAACTGTAATAAGTAGAGGTGATACCGGTTTCCCGTGCAGTCGCTAGCCCGAATGGGGTGCAGTTGATGAAAGTAAAACGGCCATGATACCGCAGATACATAAATGGAAGGAGAAATGGGGCGGATTGTGTAGGTGTCAAACCGAGCATAAATTCGGTGACACCAAAAGGAAAAATGAGAATAAAAAAAAAGATTTAATATTGATATCAGTAGTGAAGCGGTAAACCGGGTTAAGTCCATTTTGACTATTGGCCAGTTTTTGACGAATATCTCGGAATCTAAAAGAGATAGAAATTTTTTTGTCATGACCTTTTTTGTAGAGCCAATTGAGAGTTATAAAAAAGGTCATGGGAAAATTCTGCCATCTCTCTTAGATTCCGAGATATTCATCAAAAACTGACCCAAAGTCAAAATCGACTTAACCCGGTTTACCGCTTCGCTACTGATATAATATAAAATATATCTCACCTGGGGATGATCCTGGCCTTCGCCAGTAGCTTGCACTCCACCCCGTGGCGGTTGTCGTCCAGGAGGCCCTCGCAGGAGAGCCTGCAGGCAAACCAGGCGCAGCCCGGGCACCGGACAGCCACCCTAGGGTCACCGCAGCCCACGCAGACCCTTTGGTCCGAGTGGAGCCCTGGCCCGAAGGCAATTGGCGCCTCAGAGATTATCACGTCGTCTTTGTCGAGGTCTCGGGTTGACACCAGGTGTCTTCCCAGGGTCGGCGAGTCCTGGATGCTCCAGGACCTGCAGGAGCTCTTGTGGTGGCTCCAGTCGCGTTTCTGATGCTCTGGGGTGCAGTAGAACGAGGTCTTGCAACCGGTGCAACGGAGATTCGCTGGAGACGCGCACACTTCACAGATTCCCTCCTCCCCGCCCATTTTTTAATTTGTAATTGAACGATTGATTGATTATGTGTGTGGGGGAGGTCCAGGGAGGGCCTCAAGGGGTGAAATATTTTTTTGTAGGATTTTTGGGGGGTTGCGGGATTTTTTCGAGCGAGATGTGGAGAAAAGGAGAGTAGGTGAGTTTAGGTCGAGATTCTCTCGGCTTCCAAGGGGCGATCCGTGGGGAGGGGGCTGGTAATTTTAGACGGGTCTAGAATAGTTCGGGAGGCGCAGGGGGCAGCGACGAGATTTAGGTTCTTAGAGGCTTTTGCTTACGAGTGGAAGCCTTGTAATGTTTTGAATTCAAGTTTTGGATTTTTTTTTGTATCAAGCCATTAGGATTTTTCGATGATGAATCGATGGAATTTCATCTTTTTCAGCAGACTGTCCGTAAAACGTCGTTTTACGGACACTACGTTGCCGTCAAACGCCGTTTGCGGACATTGTGAAGAAAAATTAGGCTCGTTACTCGGCCGAAAACAACTTTTCTCACACTCGTCGAAAATTTTTTTTTTCGGCCTTGTCACGAAAATAGCTATTTTATCACGCTGTTCATGAAACGTCGCATACGGACATTGTGAAGAAAAATTATGTTCGTCGCTCGGTCGAAAACAAGTTTTCTCAGTTGCCGAAAAGTTTTTTTCGAAAAGTTTTTTTTCGGCCTTGTGACGAAAATAGCTATTTTGTAATACCTGCCTGAAAAGTGCATTTTTCGAAACTGTTTAGTACGTGGAAATTGATTGTTTTCCGCACGGAAAAAGTAAAGGAGATTCCGCAATCGAGCGCAACGCAGGATTAACGCGATGCGTGCAATCGTTTGAATCAATCATTCAACTGTTTTTCGATTATTTTGACAATTGCAAGCTCCTTCAAGTTCCCGAGCGTGCGTAAAGTGAATTCTCGTGAGGAAATCTTCGCTTTACGCACTTGAAATTCGTTTTTTGTGATGCCTAAAGCACTTGTTTTCCGCACTGCGTGCGTAAAATTCACTTCACGCATGCTCTTGAACTTTACGCACTAGTGACACAATAGTATATTTTTTCAAATGTAGATATTGCTGAGCTTTATTCACTGACATCAATTAGAATTTAATTCATATATTAATTTTTTGAATTTTTGGATTTTTCGAACTTTCTCAAAAATCGGTTGTGCCACTCGTTTCGTGAAATCTCTCCTCAACTATTTATTCATCCATTTGCCGATTGGAAAGCCGATCTATGGATGCCACTGGGCAACCTGCTGTGCCCTCCCTCCATAGATGGATAAATATATTCCGAATGTAAGATACTGATCCATGTATCAATTGATTAACATTAGAAAACGTTCATGTGCATCGTGTACCCATGTTTTTTCAATTTTTCCACGTTTGGAGGAATTAATGAAAAACATCAGTGACACAAGACGATGTTGGAAATTTTTTAAACTCGGGTCAATTTATGGATGTACTACACGAGGTAGATGACATCTTCATCACCAAAAGTGGAAATGAACATTTTCTCTTTTATAACAAAAAAAGACAAAAATCAAAAATAGAAAAAATATGATGAAAAATATGACAGAAAATATAATAAAAAATATAATAGAGAAATTTAGGAAGAAATGATTCGTTTTACCCCAGGAGTTATAAAAAAGTTCAAATTGTTTTATCATTTTAGTTTTAATAAACTCTCTGCATTTTGTTTAAATTCTAATTCCATTACTTTTAACAAATTGGTGGATTATTTCTAACAATTTCAAGATCTTAGATGCCAGGAATGCATTTATGGTGAATGGTCTGAGACAGGGGATTGGAATAATTGCTGACGACTTTTTTCTATAACTTTTATTACATAAATTACGAAGTCATGAATTCATTTACACATTATTTCATCGTTAAATAAATTACTAAATCAATACTTGATAATCGTCGATATAACACCAGTCGTTGTATACAAAAATATGAAATTCTTAATAGTTCGATAATTTCTTCATGCGATAAAAAATTAAAAGTAGATTAACAAGAGAAAAAAATATTGATTTTCAGCGTTTTTAGAGGGGGTCGATAGTTACCCCATTAGATAAATCCAAAAATCGTCCTTAGAATTAAAAAAAGGCCTATTTTGCCCCACAGATACTAAAAACATTCTAAAAAGCTAAATTAATCTTTTCCAATTTTTCACTGACAAAAAATTTAAAATTCAAATTTTAATAGAGTAAAACAAAATTCAAATACAACTAAATTTGAATAAAAAAATAAATTCAAACCACTGGGGCAAAACCGGTCGTCCGATTTTACATTTCCCTCTCAATCATGAAGGTGAAGGATTTTTTTTCAATTGAGAAAGAAAGTGAATTGAATAAATTAATTAACACTTTTAGTTTTTTAATAAATTTAATTGATAACCTAGGAGGCACAACGAATTTTCATAGTTTCTTCTTCGAATTGTCCTCACTCACATCGAAATTAGTCTTTTGCATCATTTTTTGCTTGACGAAGGAGCAGATATCCCTGATTGTGCAGATGATGTTGCAGATGATTTTTGAGGGCGACTCGTACTCGTTGGGGACTATTCCATCGACCGATGACTCGAAGAAGCTGAAGAGGGGAAACCATATTCGGGTTCGGTTGGAGTCGCGCTGCATGAGGGCCTGGTTGTTGGCGAGGGTGTGGTAGTAGAGGAACAGACGAGAGGTGATGTAGAAGGCGACGAATACGTCGATGGAGTAGTGCTCGTGGGCTGCGAGGATGAAGAATATTCCGAACATGTTGAGCATCCAGGTGAAGGTGTGGAGGAAGTACATGGTTCTCGGGGTGTCTGGAAGCCGAAGAGGAATTGATTAATTGGGGAAGTTTTTTTGGCAGATTGGACTGTTCCAAAAAACTGGTATTTTCTGTACAATCAAGAAATCTCATTTCCACCACTCGCACACCTATTTCGCTCCCGAAAAATGTTTGTTTGATGCTGAACAAGGACCAAATAGCTGTTTGCACCGAACAGCTACATTTTTGGGTCGAGAAAGTTGTATGAATGATTCAACGCGATTGCTATTTGTTTGTCGTTTCGGCTATTCAATACTCAAATACAAGAAATGAATTTTTAAATAGAATAACAANAGCTACATTTTTGGGTCGAGAAATTTGTATGAATGATTCAACGAGATTGCTATTTGTTTGTCGTTTCGGCTATTCAATACTCAAATACAAGAAATGAATTTTTAAATAGAATAACAATGACGATGTGATAGCAACCCTGTAACTTGGAACGAAATATTTATCATTCAGCTTGACTTTGTGAGAGATATTCTCATCCTGAAATGTCACGGTCTCCCCGCGAATGATCAGCCTCTTGAGCCAAATGTTTCGTTGTTGAAAGCAGAGCCAAAATATCTACATGTTCATACTGCCTCTTCCAAATCTCGAGCGAAACATGAACAAAGTATTACCTCAATTTTCAGCATCAGATCAGATTTTTTGATCGGATAATCTATTGTCGACAGGGGAAATTATCCGCAGAATGAAGATTCTCAAGGTTATGAAACCCATTATTTACTGAATCATCTTATTATTTATTATTATTTATTCCAAATGAAGCAATTTCTATCTTGACGACTATTTCGTTGATTGAAACAAAAATGTTTTCTTAACATTTTTAAATTGCAAGAATTTATGAAGATTCTCCTTGTGTACGGAATTATCATGATGAGGAGTTGATTTATGAAAAAATTTCCTGACATTTCTCACTAAATGAACTTGTTAACGAGATAAATTAAGTGATCAGTCGTCAAAAACCGAAAATTCCCACAGATAAAGTCAGGAAAATTAGCTTTCTATTCATCAACAAAAAAATAAAAATATTGTGGAAAAATTTTTTACTCACATTCAGTTATAAAAAAGTTCAACATCGTCAATGCAACAGTATGTCCACTGAACATGTAGTCTCCACACGTTCTAACCCCCTGAATAGACATCCCAGCACCCCTCCAGATGACATACGCCATGGATATTTTATTGTACAGTTCTCCATAAGCAGTTCTGCGAGCAAAAACCAAAATTAGGCCCTTCATCGCCCAAATAAATGCACAAAAATGATGATTGAAGTCTCACCTAGCCCAAGGGTCATCTGGAGTAGCTCTTGGTTGACACTGGAGATGAGCACCAGGCACTGATAACGAAGTTATTAACATTGTGACACATCTGAGGAGGAAGACTGTGCCAGATAGAGCGAAAAATCTTCTTAGTAATATAAATCTGAAAATTAACGAAACAAGAAATTAAAGTCGGTTGGAAAAAATAAACAGTTGATGTTAATGAAATGCACTTCGATGATTACCAAGGATGAATTTATTTATGTCATTTGAACGTGCAAAATGCGAGTGGTGGAAATGAGATTTCTTGAATACACAGAAAATATAAATTTTTTAGAAGAACCAAATCTATTTATGCTACAGAATTTATCATCTTAGGGCCCTCCTCAAATGTTTAAGACGAAATGTTTGAGACTTGGTAATTATCAACGTGCGAATTTTGGTAGAAATACACTAAGAGAGAAGAGCTAATTCCAAGTAAAGGTTTTTTGGATCAACAAAGTACTTGTCTAATGATCACCAAGGTAGAAATTATGTCATTTGAACATGCAAAATTTCCAAACATGAATAATAAGATAACTCAATAAATAATGGGTCTCATCACTTTGAGAATCTGCATTCTGCGGATAATTTCCCATCCCCTGTCGACGATAGATTATCCGATCAAAAAATCTGATCTGATGCTGAAAATTGAGGTAATACTTTGTTCATGTTTCGCTCGAGATTTGGAAGAGGCAGCATGAACATGTAGATATTTTGGCTCTGCTTTCAACAACGAAACATTTGGCTCAAGAGGCTGATCATTCGCGGGGAGACCGTGACATTTCAGGATGAGAATATCTCTCACAAAGTCAAGCTGAATGATAAATATTTCGTTCCAAGTTACAGGGTTGCTATCACATCGTCATTGTTATTCTATTTAAAAATTCATTTCTTGTATTTGAGTATTGAATAGCCGAAACGACAAACAAATAGCAATCTCGTTGAATCATTCATACAAATTTCTCGACCCAAAAATGTAGCTATTCGGTGCGAACAGCTATTTGGTCCTTGTTCAGCATCAAACAAACATTTTTCGGGACCGAAATAGGTGTGCGGGTGATGGAAATGAGATTTCTCGATTGCACAGAAAATATCAATTTTCTGGAACATCCAAATCTATTTTTTTCTACCCAAAACCATCATCTTCGCACTTCTCAGATGTTGGAAACTTGGTAATCATCAACGCACGAATTTTCACGCGTATGTTAACAAGGCCCTTGAGTACCTGTACTTATGAACAATTAAAACAGTCAGCCAAATGGCGAACAGCAGTGTCCCCGTGACCTCGCACATGTCGAAGGCCCAGGGAATGTGGGGCACGTTGTCCAGGAATATATCCGGCAAGGGGGGGTACTTCTTCATGTCAGGGACTCGATCGTGGACTATCACCATCACGAAGGCAGTTATCCACGTCACGATGAACAAATACCCCAGGCTTATCACTGTTTTCCAGATTTCGGGGGGCAAGTGCGAGGCGTGACCGTCATCTGAGACCGAGGCCGAGTAAAACTCGTGCTCTATTGAACTCTCGTTGTTCGAGGTTGTGCTTGGTAACTGGAAAATCAATTGTTTGTTGCGGATATTACGCTGACACGTCGAGATTATTCTGTTATTGAGATTTCAGGAGGTGGGAGGGGAGGGGAGCGATGGTGGTAAATAGATAAAACCTATAATCATTGAATTTGTTGTCATTATATGAAACTATGCAATAAAAACATTAACAATTTGTTCCCAAATGTAATTGTTCAACGTTTTTGCTTCAAGATTTAAATTTCAAATTTTTTGTGTTAAAGTAACTAAATATGACCTTTTTCTTCATTTATTTTCAAATTTTCTTAAAAGCGATCAATCGAATTTCATGCATTTTGTCATGAACGTAGACTTTAATAAGCTCTATTCATTAACACCAATTAAAATGTAATTTTTCATACAGGTTCGAAAAAATTGATATTTTTTCAAAAATCGATTTTTCAACGATCACTCAAAAAATTGCCATCAAAATGGAATTAGTGATGGCTCAAAAAATTTATAACAATACCCTCTTGATTCTATCAGAATATGATGGGGGTCGCACAATTCGTTGTTGAGTTACAGCACATCGTTTATGCGATTTGAAAGAGAAAATCGGTTTTTCATGATTACTGAAAGAATCATCAGTAACAGCAATTAAATCAGGGCTTGAAAAGTATATTTCAATGGCTTCTTAATCAAGTTGAAAAATGGTGAGAACAGCATCATTGCTTATCAAGTTACACAATACCGTCATGAGCTTTTTATATAAAAATCTCTATCTCTATTAAACTCAGCTACCAGTCTATTATGTTGAATACTTATTCATATTGATTCATGGTCCCGACTAACTTCTGACAGAACCTGGGTTAAACTCTGGCTAAATGCTGAATAAACCCTGATTAAATCCCGGCTATACACTGATTAAACCTTGATTGAACCTCGATTAAACCCGGACTGACAACGAATTCGAGTCGTGAGAGGGTCTGAATGTAGAATTATTCGACAGAACGAAATAATACGCAAAATTTTGATATTTCAATTGATGATAGTACTATAACACGACAAAATAGAAGAAGAGAATAGTGAAATAAGAATTTTAAAAAAGATAACCCATTCTAAAGCAAACTTGAACTAAACTTGATTTGATTACCCCAAATTTATCATTTCAGGTCCCAATATTAGATTAATATAATCTCCCTTTATAACTATTCCTAGTTACAGGTAATTATTTTCCATAAATATAAACAATATTCATTTCGATATATTGAATAAAATCCCCAGTTACAGCTCATTTATTAAAAAACTGCAATTGTCCACTCGTGATAAAAGAAATAAATTACGAAATTACATGTTATTCCCCCTAAAAATCGTCCCCTGAATTCCTCACCTCATGCCTCTGCTGGCTGTAAAAATTGCTGGAGAAGAACTCGATCTGCCCCAGCTCAAACAGCACCGCCACATTCTCCTTCTGCAGCTTCTTGATGCTAATGTACAGTCTCTTGATCTCCCCGATCTTCCTCAGGTTCATTCCCTGGCCCTTGAGATCGTCCTCCCTCAGAGTCAGCAGTGCCTTGCCATCGATATCGTGCGCCTCGAACTGTCTCACCACCCCCGAATGTCCAGTCTCCCTCAGCCACGTCGCCACCTCCTCATTGCTCCACTCCGCGACATTTTTCGGGAGTCCTTTGGACATTTTAATGACCCCTGATGGCCCCCGATGAGCCCAAGACCCCGGAAAAAAATTAAAAACCCTCTTCACCCTCGAAAACTCATAAAACACCTCTTTTCATTCACTCGAATCGACACTACGAGAGTCCTTGAACGATTGCACTTGGAGTAATGCTCTTGCTTTCCCGACATTCTTGGAGGGGTGGGGGGTATGTGCAGAGTGCATCAGCCCATTGTTCCACCGATGTATCACCAAAACAAATGGTTACGATCTTTGTCATTAAATCGATGGGTAATCTGCAGCAAAAATCAGCAAAAACACTCTTTCCTCATTATCTCAGGAACCAGAAGTGATTGGACCCCGAAAATTGTCTCATCCGATAGCCGGGGAAATTTCCGATGAAATCCTCTGGTCATGAACCCATTTTGCCCCGGGCATTGTGAAAAAATTGATCAAAAACGATTTTGACCTTGAGAATTTTGAGTTCTGTTATCAGGGGATGTTTCGCAGATAAAGGGGTCCATGACCAGGGGTTGGAATCGGAAATTTTCCTGGCTGTTGAATGAAACTATTTTCGCGGTTTTCCCACTTCCGGTTTTCGAGAAAATGCAGGAGAAGTATTTTTAGGGTAAATTTAGTGGAAATTGTTGACCAAAGGTCGAGATGATTCACACGTGCTGATGACGATCAGTGATAAGTCTTGAAAAAAATTAGTCAGTGAGTTTTAATTGAATCGCTGAATCTTTGTGGTGATTAAATGTATGTCTAATCTCCAACGAAAACTATCAAAAACGCTCTTTCCTCATTATCTCAGGAACCGGAAGTGATTGGACCGCGAAAATGATCTCATCCGATAGTCGGGGAAATTTCCGATGAAATTCTCTGATCATGAACCCATTTTGCCCCGGGCATTGTGGAAAAATCGATCAAAAACGATTTTGACCTTGAGAATTTTGAGTTCTGTTATCAGGGGATGTTTCGCAGATAAAGGGGTCCATGACCAGGGGTTGGAATCGGAAATTTTCCTGGCTGTTGAATGAAACTATTTTCGCGGTTTTCCCACTTCCGGTTTTCGAGAAAATGCAGGAGAAGTATTTTTAGGGTAAATTTAGTGGAAATTGTTGACCAAAGGTCGAGATGATTCACACGTGCTGATGACGATCAGTGATAAGTCTTGAAAAAAATTAGTCAGTGAGTTTTAATTGAATCGCTGAATCTTTGTGGTGATTAAATGTATGTCTAATCTGCAACGAAAACTATCAAAAACGCTCTTTCCTCATTATCTCAGGAACCGGAAGTGATTGGACCCCGAAAATTGTCTCATCCGACAGCCGGGGAAATTTCCGATGAAATCCTCTGGTCATTAACCCGTTTTGCCCCGGGCATTGTAAAAAAATCGATCAAAAACGATTTTGACCTTGAGAATTTTGAGTTCTGTTATCAGGGGATGTTTCGCAGATAAAGGGGTTCATGATCAGGCGTTGGAATCGGAAATTTTCCTGGCTGTTGAATGAAACTATTTTCGCGGTTTTCCCACTTCCGGTTTTCGAGAAAATGCAGGAGAAGTATTTTTAGGGTAAATTTAGTGGAAATTGTTGACCAAAGGTCGAGATGATTCACACGTGCTGATGACGATCAGTGATAAGTCTTGAAAAAAATTAGTCAGTGAGTTTTAATTGAATCGCTGAATCTTTGTGGTGATTAAATGTATGTCTAATCTCCAACGAAAACTANGATAAGTCTTGAAAAAAATTAGTCAGTGAGTTTTAATTGAATCGCTGAATCTTTGTGGTGATTAAATGTATGTCTAATCTGCAACGAAAACTATCAAAAACGCTCTTTCCTCATTATCTCAGGAACCGGAAGTGATTGGACCGCGAAAATGATCTCATCCGATAGCCGGGGAAATTTCCGATGAAATCCTCTGGTCATGAACCCATTTTGCCCCGGGCATTGTGGAGAAATCGATCAAAAACGATTTTGACCTTGAGAATTTTGAGTTCTGTTATCAGGGGATGTTTCGCAGATCAAGGGGTCCATGACCAAGGGTTGGAATCGGAAATTTTCCGAGCTGTCGAATGAAACTATTTTCATAATTTTTCCACTTCCAGTTCCCGAGAAAATCCAGTAAAAGAGTTTATCCTTTCGTAATTTGAGGTTTTATCAGAGTGACTTTTGATACATGAAGTAATAAAAATTATTGGGTAATTACCAAAGGTCGATGAGACAGTCCGCACGTGCCGATAACGATAACTCACTGATAGGGGTCTTGAAAAAAATTAATTAGTGATTTTTAATTGACAAGCTTTGATTGATCCTTTGTTGAATTGGCCAGTCACAAGCACGCGTTTGGAATTGATGATGAGGTCGATGGCTCCTCGGACTTGGTCGGTTTATCAGTGAGAGTTGCTGTGATTTATGTACCACTTTTGATGCCCGACGAGTTGATTCCGATGGGGGTATTGGGGGGACACGTGTGACGTACCATGTTGAATTTATTGGTTGGTGAATCGAAATTGTTGGGACGAGGTCGAGGATTCAGGGGGTTTTGTTTGGAATTAGAGATGAGGTGGACATGTGGAGTTGACGTTCTCGTTGGGAATGTCACCGGTAGGGGGTGGGCGAGGTGGGTAAAGTAGAGAGGGACATGGTCGACTGATGGTTTTGAGGTTTGACAACCCCTCGCGGGGGGGGGGAATTTATCATTAAATTTTGGAAAGTCATTTACAGAAACAAGTACCCAATTTTTTTAGATTTCATCACCGTTACAAATGGCCAAAAATCCGAATGAAATCCGTAGAAAAGGTCCCCAACGAAACCTTAATTAGCTCTCAACTAAAATCTGGTGAAACCCAAATTAAACCTCGTTAAATGACCCCACTAAAACCCGACTAAATTCTGATTAAATTCCGATGAACGTCCTCACGAAAACCTGACTAAATCCTAATTAAACCGTGATGAAATCCTAACTAAACCCTGACTAAATCCTACCTAAACCATGATTAAATCCTATCTAGACCCTGACTAAATCCAAACTAAATCCTAACTAAACCTTGATTAAATCCTAACTAAACCCTGACTGAATCCCGATAAATATCCATAAACCTGTCTAGACCCTGACTAAATCTTAACTAAACCCTGACTAAATCCTAACTAAAACCTGATTAAATCCTAATTAAACCCTAACTAAATCCTGACAAAATCCTAAGTAAACTCTGATTAAATCCTAATTAAACCCTGATTAAATCCTAATTAAACCTTGACTAAATCCTACCTAAACCATGATTAAATCCTATCTAGACCCTGATTAAATCCAAACTAAATCCTAACTAAACCTTGATTAAATTCTAACTAAACCCTGACTGAATCCCGATAAATATCCATAAACCTGTCTAGACCCTGACTAAATCTTAACTAAACCCTGACTAAATCCTAACTAAAACCTGATTAAATCCTAATTAAACCTTAACTATATCCTGACAAAATCCTAAGTAAACTCTGATTAAATCCTAACTAAACCCTGATTCAATCCTAATTAAACCCTAACTAAATCCTAACTAAACCCTGATTAAATCATAATTAAACCCTAAGTAATCCCTGGCTAAATCCTACCTAAACCTTGATTAAATCCTAACTAAGCCCTGACTAAATCCTCACTAAACCCTGACTAAATCCTAACAACCTAAATTAACCCCCGACTAACATCCGACTAAACCTCTACTAAAACTCGATTAAACACCCATCGATAGCTTTCGCCAAAAAACTTCCATCAAAAAAATCCTAAAAAATCCGTAAAACCGATCATTTAAATCCCAGCGGAAAAATGCCAATAAAAATTTCTCGTCATTTGAAAACTCGTCTTGTCGTCTTGTCACGATTGCCACGTAAGGTCAATGATACCGGCAAACGGTAGTTTCCAGTGCTGAGTTGGCAATCTTGCAATCATCGGGATTTACCAGCCGAATCCCTTCCTAACCTCAAAATTTACATGTTTTTCCTCAATTTTTCCAGGTGGACAGGGAAAAAGGAATAAAAAAAAGTCATCACTGTTGACTGATAAAAAAATTTCAAGAAACAATTGTCCACGTCGAGTGACTGAAAGTACTTAAACACTCGGTTGTACATTAAACACATGTACTTAATACTCGTGAATACGATATTCATGATTAATAGTATAAACATTTGAATGAGTTATGGGTGGACAAAAATTTCAGTACGACGAGAGCGGTGGAACGTTTTTCTATTTTCTACTGTCATTTCTCGCACTTGTTCTTGTACCTGGGACGTACTACCTCTGGCCACGATCATCTAAACAAGGTCAGTCATTATTTTTTTATTTTTTCATTTAGGGGTGAGAGGTGAGTGAGAGTGAGTGCCTTTGAAGTGGCGATTGTTGAATTAATTTTGAAATTGAGAGGATTTTTTTGAAGGATAAGAAGAGGAATTTTTAGGTGATGGTTTTTTATTGCGTTTTTTATTCGAGTTTCGTTTATCGGATTGATTCGTTGAGGAATTTTTGGGGCGAAGTTTTGAGGTGAGGACTGAAGGTCGTTGTGGAGGGGTTTTTAAATTGTATTAATTTGTTTTTGGGATTTTAGTGAATGGAGAAAAAGGAATTATTTTCTGGAGATTTTTTATTTTGTATTTTTGATGAACAGTTTAGGATTTATTTGTAGAGGGCTTCGAAAAAATTGTCAAAATGTTTTTTAATTTGTTTTGATTTTTTTTTAGATTTTATTAAATGGGGAAAAATAATTATTAATTGAGGGTTTATGGATTTGCTTTTCATTTTTTGGAATTTTATTGAGAGTTTATGAGGATTTTTTAATATCCATAAACATGTGTTCATTTTTTCATATTTTTTCCTCCTGAAGCGAATGTCGTCACCCAATGTTTATTCAGTCTTCTCGCAGTTCTTATTTTCCTCTTAAGAGGAATCAATTTAATCAAAACATAAACATGAGTTCCGTTATCATTCAACATCTGTAAAAATTCCTCTAGATTCCTCAACAACACCCACTGCTGAATATTTAAAATCAATTTGACGTTTGAAGTGGGCTCTGAGATGATAATTTTTTTGGAGATTTGGTTGTTCTAAAAAATTGACGATGTGATAGCAACCCTGCAACTTGTAACGAAATATTTATCATTCAGCTTGACTTTGTGAGAGATATTCTCATCCTGAAATGTCACGGTCTCCCCGCGAATGATCAGCCTCTTGAGCCAAATTTTTCGTTGTTGAAAGCAGAGCCAAAATATCGACATGTTCATGCTGCCTCTTCCAAATCTCGAGCGAAACGTGAACAAAGTATTACCTCAGTTTTCAGCATCAGATCAGATTTTTTGATCGGATAATCTATCGTCGACAGGGGATGGGAAATTATCCGCAGAATGCAGATGAGACCCATTACTTACTGAATCACTTTATTATTCATACTTGAAAATGTCTCACCCCTCAGTGCAAAACATCCACTTTAAACACTTTTTCGTTATAAACCACATGGGATCTCTTTTATTATCAAATGATAGACATTCATATATACTCAGCAAATGGAATTAACAAAAATATCATGGCATAATGTACACGTAAGAAAAAAGGCATGAAAATGAAGTACGTGGAACATGTAAACTATTGGGACGAGCTGCCCTTCTTCCGCTCGGCATTGGTCTTTCTCAGCGTTTGTCTGTTCTCTCGCCGACGCTCAGCGTCCTCAAATGCCGCGATTACATCAGGATCGTTCGTGAAATCTCGATAGTTCCATCTCACGTAGTTCGAGAAGTGATTCCTCAGAGACTTGGCAGTGCGACTCGAAATTCCCTGGAACACAATTCCACGTGAATTATTTTTTTTTTTGATTCTCTCGAAAATTAGTGCTCAAGTTGAGGGTCAAAAGGTCTCGAGGGCCCAAGGGGTCAGGGCAGAATAATGGGAAAGGGTCATTTTGCCCTTGACCCTGGACGTTTTCAAGGGTCGTTTGACCCTTACGACCATTTGACTCCCAGCCCCGAACGTAATGAAGGGTCGTTTGACCCTCAAATGGAATTGAGGGTCAAACTACCCTTGAGGAAGTTTGGGATTGAGGGTCAAATGGTCTTAAGGGTCTAACGGGTTGGAGCAGACTGATTCAATGAGAAAGGGTCATTTGACCCTTAACCCTGCACGTCCTCAAGGGTCGTTTGACCCTTGAGACCATTTGACCCCCAGCCCCAAACGTCTTCAAGGGTCGTTTAACCCTTACGACCATTTGACCCTCAGCCCCAAAAATCATCAAGGGTCGTCTGACCCTCAAAACTATTTGACCCTCAACTAAGAATCGAAAACTTGAGGAAACTTTTTCTTCTTTCTTTTTATTTGAGGGTCAAATAGTTTTAAGGCTCAATTGACCCTTGAGAAAGTTTAGGGTTGAGGGTCAAATGGTCTTAAGGGTCTAACGGGTTAGAGCAGACTAATCAGCAAGGGTCATTTGGCACTTACGACCATTCGATCTTCAATTCCACTCGTCCTCAAGGGTCGTTTGACCCTCAACTAAAAACCAAAAAACATAAGGAAAATTTTTCTTCTTTGTTTTTATTCGAAGGTCAAATGGTCTTGAGGGTCAAACCCCGTCCTATTTTGCCCCAGTCCCCCTTCAATACTCACGGGTACACCCATCGCCAGTAGCCCTTGCCATGCACCCATTGATGTCGCCCTATAAATCAAATTGTGCTCGATCAATGCGTCAACCATGGCCTGATCCTCGTCTGGGGTAAAGGCTCTCCTTCCACTGAAACGAAATCATTAGATTCCTCACAAAAAACTCCTGAACCTACATTTTAAAGAGATAATCCCACGTGAAACAAGACATAAAAAAATCGAGTCTCTTTTATTCCATTTGGAAATTTCATTGACATTGCTTTGAAATTCGCAATTATGTCATTAATGACTGATTTTGTCATGAAAAATCATTCGAGCTTTTTTGTAGCTTATGAAATTCCCTACAAAAAGTTTCTTCTCACATTTCCTCGTAAACCCCCTCATTCTCAAGATAATTTTCACGTTTAACAAGATGAAAAATTAATTTTGGCTATTTATCTTCCACAACTTCGAGAACTTCATTATTTTCTTAATTATCTCATTAACAAATGATTCTAGGGAAAAACATGACAAGACTTTTTTTGTAGCTCACAAAATTCGCCGCAAAAAATGTCCCACAACATTTTCCCCTAAACCCCCAAGCAAATTGCAAAAAAATAAATAAATAAACCTTAACTCACAGTGCATCTCCTAGCTGTATCATTGATCGTCTTCCTGCCCAGACTCTGGGCTGTCCAGGATTCCGAGCCTCATGCCGCTGCACCCGGACGTCCAGACGGTTATCCTGATGCCTCTCCCTTTCCTCAGCCTCGCTCCCACCTTCCACAAGAACCACCTCAGGCTCAACCCAAGCACCACCTCTATCTCTCGCCCACTGTGCCTCACCCCCCTCCTCATCCTCATTATCACTGTCACTTCTCACGTGCCCCCTCTCCCCCCTCTGGAACCCATACCCCTTCACTCCCCTGGAAGTGCTGGCTCCAGGATCAGGGTCTCTATTTCTCTTCAGCCCCCTCCCCCTCTCCCTCCCCTGGACATTCCTCTCATTATTAGAATCATCTGAGTCCATATCTAAAAATTTTCTGCCCTGAGATTTTCCAGGAGGCTTCCTCCCTGCATTTTTTCCCTTTTGAATCACCGGAGAAGATGCACCCCTCCCTCGAGCCCCTCCTGGAGGAGAATTCTCCATATCTGGAGAAGAATTCACCTCGACAACCGAATTTTTCCCATTTTTTCCAGACTTTTTCACTGGAAGTTTTCCCTTCTGACGATTTGGACTCTTCGATATTTTCCCTGGAGAATTTCCTGGAGAATACTCATCAACATCCTCTGGAAGATCACTAGGAAGGTCATCCCCAATCATTCGTTTTACTAATTTTCTCATTGTCCTTCTTGCTGGAGGCGCTGGAGTCTCGGGTGAAGAATCCAAGACGCTTTGACACTTTCTATTTTTATTGAAACCCCTTTCAATTTCTGAATCCTCACTCTCATCATCAGACAAAATGTTTCTGGAACATCCTGGCACTGGAGCCACTGGAGGATTCCTGGAGCGAATATTTTTTCTCATGGGGTTCATCCTGAGATCCTGACTCTCTTCGTAATGCGAAGAGTCGATGCTCATGGGTGATGATCCGGACATTGTTGGTGATTTTCCAGTGGCTGGAGCACGTCCTGCAGCCCTCCTGCTCCTTTTCCCATCCTGTGAATTGTCCGATAATTGCGGAGAGACCAGCAATTCCCCAGAGACCCCTAGAGGATCTCCACATGCCTCGAAAGGATCTGTCGTTTTCTCCAGTTCTCCAGTAGCTTCAGCAGACTCTCTACTGTCGGAGGATGCTTCCACGTACGGATGATTCCCTCCAGGTATCATGCATCTCTTAGAAACACTGGAGACATTCAGAAGTGGGTCTTGAGTCTCTCCAGGCCCCTCCAGCAGTTCCTCATCTCCAGCAGGCTCCTCACGCTTTAATTCCAATTGTAGAAATCCAGAAGATATTAAATCAGGCTTGTTCATCCTTCGACGTTTTGTTGGAGTCTCTGGAATTATTTCACCCTCTGACTCATCCTCACTGGAAGATGCTGGCGGTGGAGTCATCTTTGGGGTCAATCGCTCAGACTTAATCGCCGCTGGAGAACGATTTCTCTTCTTTTTTGATTTATCACCCGGTGAAAATTGCGTCTCACTGTCTGTTGTGGTTTCTCCAGGCTCTGGAGAATTTTCTCCAGACTCTGGAGAATTTTCATCAGTCACTGGAGGGACTAATGATGTCTCTAAACGCGTCAAATGAACTCTCGTTTTTTTAGATAACGCGGGATCTTCGAATTGTGATGCTAGGTTTTTTGGAATTTCTCCAGCTCCAGAGGATAATGAATGATCTGGGGTTTTTCTGACTCTTCTGGCTACTCCATTGGCCTGACTTTGGGGGACGGAGTCCGGGAGTTCGTCCGGGGCCATTGGGAATCCTGTTTGGAGCAATCGGAGTTCCTCCAGTTGGTGATAAGCCTCTTTGGAGACTTTGTAGGTCTTGTAGTTGGGGAGGACGTTGTTGGTGAAGTGCATGAAAAGGGGACCCGCTCGGTGGGGAAACAGGGAGCCTTCCTGCTCCAGCCCTAACCAGGTGCTGATGTTCAGGGCCTCGGGGATTGAGTTTGTTCGAATGAGGTAGTTTAGCATCTGCTGGTCGTCTTCGGAGGTGAACGCGCGCGTTTGTGGGGTCATTCTGGGGATGGATAGGGGGTTTTTTAATTCTCTGGAAGCGTTGTTGAATTTATAATTGGGGATTTTGGGACATCGCGTTGTTTATTTTGGGGAAATCCTTATGAAATGAGATGCGAGCGATGATTAGTGGGGGAAATTAACACAATGACTGGGAGTTTTTAGGTATTTATTCAGGATTTTTATTTTCCTGTTTTTTGAATAATATTTAATTGAGGAATTCGAGATTTTTGAAAAGTAGAAAAATCACGGAATTTTGGCTTTGGAAAATTCAAAATAAAATTTGTTGAGGAATAAAATTAATTTGGGCGAAATTAATTGGCGTTTGCGGTGTTACTCTGGGGGAGAATAGGGGTTTTTTCAATTTTTTGGAAGAGCAGTTGAATTTATAATTGGGGATTTTGGAAATTGAGAATTCACGTTGTTTATTTTGAAGAAATTCTGCCAAAATAAGATGTGAGTGAAAATTAATCAAGGAAATTATGATAATTACAGCTACTTTCGAGGTATATTTATTCATGATTTTTTCTTCAGCAATTTTTCAAATGATATTCAATTGAGGAATTCGATACTTTTGAAAAGTACAAAAATTTTTTAATGGACACATTTTTTAAATGAACACTTTAGACTTTTTTAAAATAATTTATAACTCAGAAACAAATTTATCAATTGAGCTCAGTTTAAGCTCTTCATAAAGGGAAAGAATTGTCCTCTGTATTGAAAAAAAATTATTAAATTTCATCAACATTTCAACCCCTCATTAACATTAAAAAAAAGTCGTGTCCGTTTTACCCCACTCTCCCCTGTACATGCATATAAATATTTTTATATTTTTACGTTTGTGAATATTTTTGTAACTGAATTGTTTTTATGGCTTCAATGGGCGATCAGCCTGAAGCCTGAATAAAGAATTATGAATCATGAAAATTCATTTTCTAGAAAATTTCTTCTTGGAAATTTCCTCTTGGAAAATTTGAAATGGATTAACATCAGAAATGCGATTGGGAGTGACGATTAATCAATCTGGGAACTTACCAAAATCTTCTCAATACAGAAAAATAGCGAAAAATTCAACAATACAATATTTTTCACCTAAATTAATTTTAAAAAATTATTGAAACAAAAATTTTTCTCCAATTCTCATTTCATAAAAAAATAAATCCAAGAAAAAAACTCCCTAATTTTTCCTGCCAAAAAATCCATAAAATTCATTACTGAATAAAAATCAATTGCTCAGGAAAAGAATTCTCATTAAATTCTCCCTAAATTCTGATTCAAAACAGAAACTCAATAAGTGTGTCTCCAAAAAAAATCTACAGCAAAACTTTTTCGTACTGAAACCCAATTGCCCAGAAAAATAATCAAGAAGTGGAACTACCGTTTCAGAGGCATCGCCTTTGCCTAAGATGGCTGACCCTCATGACCCTTCTGACCTTTAGGCCGCCATGACCCTCGGTCGATCCCCTCAGAAAGCCCTCCGCCCCTCAAAAATCACTGCCTCCAAAAAATTCTAAATCCCAAAATTCTTCAACATTAATTTTTCAAAATCAACAGGCTCTCCAAATGAAAATTCCCCAACCTAATTATCCAATTAAATTATTATTAATTGGATTGGTAACCGAATCAATTGCTGGAGAGGATGGCTCTACTCACTTTCTCATTGTCTTCGAGGGTCTCTCATCCCCATGTCCTCGTCTCTTCCTCCTCTTCATGCTTCTGTCAACATTTTTGTTGTCACACGAGTCAGAATCCCTAGTGTTGTTGCCGTCATCACCGTTACTAGTCGTAGCTATCTCCCCAGAATTATCCTCGTGACCCCTCATCACTACGAATCTCAGTCTCAACTGCGATCAGCTGATTCTGATGCTTCACTGTCAATTCACTTTTGAATAATTTATCTCAATCAGAATGATTTGTTTGGAGGAGGTATCAAGCATCAATATTGACTGATCTTTTAGGTTAGAAACCCATATGTTGATCCTCACCGGTGATTCCTCTTTTGGCGGTAAACCCGAGGAAATGGCGGGAAATTTGAATTTTAGGATGAGTTATTCAAGGATTTTGGCGATGGAAGGGGGGTGGGGGTGGGTTTTTCAGATGATTTTGAGATGAATAATGTTTTTTGAGCGATTTTTGAGGTTTTTGTTTCCTGACCCTTGTGACCCTTACGTGACCCTGGAGGCTCTTGTGACCCTTACGCTCGTTTATTCCATGATCTTTTTATGATATTGATGTTATTAGGGTTTTTGGAGGGATTAATGGTGTTTTTGTTTTTTGACCCTTGTGAACCTTGCGGTTTTTGAGACCCTTGCGACTCTTGTGACTTTTACGTTTTTTTATTCCATGATTTTTGGATGATATATTGATGTTTCTGGAGTTTTTGGAGGGATTAATGGTGTTTTTGTTTTTTTACCCTCGTGACCCTTGCGGTTGTCGAGACCCTTACATTTTTTTATTACATAGTTTTTGGATGATTTTGACATTTTTTGGAATTTTCAGATCCAGATCAATTATTAAGGAAGTGCAGATGTCCAGGATGCAAGAGGAAGAAGGAGATCCTGGCCCAGCAGAATCCCGGCAAGGCGACAAAAACGATCCTAATGTAAAATCCTAAGAAATTAAAATCCCTCGACAAATAAAGAAAATTAATTAAAAATCCTAATGGTCGATTTGTGATTGCAGAAAAATGTTTATCATCGTCTGCTGGATATTCCTGGCGTTGCTAGCTTACAAGGTCTCCCAGTATGACGCAGAAATGGCGAACTTCGATCCTTACGAGATCCTCGGAGTGTCTCCGGTATTAAAAGAAAATTCTGAAAAAATACAATTTTTAAAACTTCAGGAATCAATAATTCCTAAAATTTTTAAACAAAACTTGATACCTTTCCTTAAGCCCTAACTAAATCCCTATTGAACCTTAACGAAACGTTGATTGACTCCCAACTAAACTCTGATTAAACCCAGATTAAATCCTGATGACAAAAACCACTAAGGCCCGACAAAACCCTGACAAAACCCTAATTAAACTGTGATTAAGGCCTAACTAAACCCTGATTAAATTCTAACTAAATCCTGATTAAATCCTGACTTATCTTTGATTAAACCCCGACTAAAACTCAATGAAAGTCCCGACTAAACTCGGACTAAATCCTAACCAGTCCTGATTAAACTCACCAAGTCTAGACTAAACCCTGACTAAATCGGAATTATACTCTGACTAAACCCTAATTAAACTATGACTAAATCCTAACTAAACCCTGACTAAATCGGAATTAAACTCTGACTAAATCCTAACTAAAGCCTGATTAAATCCTAACTAAACGCTGACTAAATCAGAATTAAACTCTGACTAAATCCTAATTAAACTACGACTAAATCCTAACTTAACGCTGATTAAACTTGGATTAAGCCCTGATTAAACCCTGATGATAGTTTCCACTCAGGCCCGACTAAACCTCTACTAAATCCCGATTAAACCCCAATTTGTCCTCAGGGAGCATCGGAGCGCGACATAAAACGATCCTACCGCAAGATCTCGCTGATCCTTCACCCAGACAAGGAGACTGGAGATGAGAAGGCCTTCATGAAGTTGACGAAGGCGTACCAGGCGCTGACGGACGACGAGGCCCGCTCCAACTGGGAGAAATACGGAAACCCTGATGGTCCTGGGGCGATGTCCTTCGGTATTGCCCTCCCCTCGTGGATTGTTGAGAAGAAGAACTCGGTGTGGGTCCTGGGGCTGTACGCCATGGTCTTCATGGTGGCCCTGCCCACGGTGGTGGGCATGTGGTGGTACAAGAGCATCAGATACACAGGTTCGTGGGGGTTCAATTGTCTTTTTAAATTCATTGCAAAAATTTTTCCCGATATTTTTTATATTACAATCGACAATTGACGTCCGCCAACTAGAATTTAACATTTTTTACATGAGTAATTCCCAAAAGTTCTTCTTTTGGAGTTTCTAAATTCCAAAATCTTAAAAAGTTTCCTAAACTCATTGTTTTGAGATATAATTGAGTAATTATTCAAGATTCAGGAGTAACTTGATTGAGCAGTTTTAAGACACTAATTCATTATGCAATTATCTTGGTAATTATGGATACAATGAGAAAATGTCAGAAAATGTTTTTTACTTACATTTAAATTAACGTTTTTTACATTAATTCGTAGTTTTATTTTAATTGTTGTATTTTCACCTGAATAATTCCCAAAAAATTGACTTTTAGGCTTTCTAAGTTTCAAAATCTCTAAATAAATGACTAATTATTGTAGATATTTCAAGACACTAGTGAATTATACAATCATCTCATTAATTACTGATCCATGAGAAAATTGCAAGCCCTTTAAATGAGGGAATTTATTTAAAAATCGCCTCAATATCTTCCAGGAGATCAAGTTCTCCTCGCCACCACCCACATGTACTACGGCCTCTTCAGTGGCACCTGCACAACCGTCCTCAAGCGCGTCATCATGATCCTCGCAGCCTCCTACGAGTTTTGTCGTGGTGCCAATGCCGAAATAGTCGAGCGCCAGTCCGACAACGAGGAGGTCCCCTCCCTCATAAAAAAGCTCCCCAACCTGGGGGAGAAGAACAAGGAGACGCCTCTCTGTCATCACTACTCCATCAAGGCCAGGGCGATAATCCACGCCCATCTCACCAGGATTCCCCTGAATCCCCTGACCCTAGAGAAGGATCGCCAGTACATTGTCAAGAAGTGCCCCTATCTCATCCAGGAAATGGTGACGTGCGTCAATCAGCTGATCATGCTGGCGTACTCTGGGAGGGTGCCACTACTGCCCACCATTCACACAATCGAGAACTGCATGAAACTCTCACCCATGATTGTTCAGGGCTTCTGGGAGTTTTCTAATCCCCTGCTGCAGCTGCCTCACATTGAGGACGAACATCTCAAGCACTTCCTGGGGAAGAAGAAGAATATCAAGACTCTTCAGCAGCTCGCACAGCTCAAGGGGAACGAGAGGCGGCAGATCCTGAGGATGCTCAGTGATGAGCAGTATGAGGATGTCATGAGGGTCTTGGGGAACATGCCTTATGTCGACTTCAAGGTGAGGGGGTGGGGTGATTTTTGACGATTTTTTGTTTTTAATGACAAGTGACAATCTTTCAAATTTAAGTTTTAATCCGGGTTTAGTTGGAATTTAGTCAGGGTTTAGTTAGGATTTAATCGGTTCAGGTTTAGTGAGAGTAATTGGAGTTTAATTAGAGTTTAGTTAGGATTTAGTCGAGGTTTAGTCGGGGTTTAATCAGGGTTTAATTGGAATTTAGTCAGGATTTAGTCATTGTTTAGTCCGGGTTTAATCAGAGATTAGGGTTTAGTTAGGATTTCATCGGGGTTTAATCAGGGTTTAATTAGGATCTAGTCAGGGTTTAGTCGGGGTTCAGTCAGGGTTTAGTTGGAATTTTTCTTTTCAAAATGATTAAATGTATTCTATAAATTCCAAAAATATAATTTTTCGAAAGCATATCGATAATTATTGTATGTTTTCAGGTACAATCGGAGGTAGTCGATGACGACAATCCAACGGTCTACACCGCCGACGCAATTGTCACAGTAACAGTCACCCTGACAAGAAGGGACATGAGGGAATTGTTTGGCGATGAAACAGCAAAGGAACAGACAGTGGACGAAGGAGAGGACAAGGAGGATAAAGACGAAAAAGAGGATAAGGATGAGCAGGTGAGTTTCAAAAATCTTTTTTTTTATAACTTAAAAAATCCCATTCTTTCATTTTCATGTTTCAAAACTTGTTAATCATGGAATTTCCCCAAGAACGAGTGGTTCCACTGAAAAACATTGAGACCCGTTTCAAAATCTCCCCTAAAAACGTATTTTAACATTACAAAACCCCTGATCTCCTTTTAATTTTCCCTCAGGCTGTCCCAATGAAGAAAACCCCCTGGTTAAAGCAGAAAAAAGGTGGAAAATCAAAGCTCGACAAGAAGAAGAAGCAGCGAGTGTCCAAGAAGTCCACCCCGAAGGGCAAAAAATCCCCAGAGGATGATAACGAGAAGGAGAAGAACCCCCAGGGGCCGGTGGATCAAGCCAAAGACGACAGCAGTGAGCACTCTGAAGCCGAGAGCGAGAAGAGCGATGAGGAGCCTGAAAAAGTCAAGGAAATCAATCAAGAGGACGACGACGAGGAGTGGGAGAAGTTCCAGCAGAGGATAGCCAAGAAGGAGAGGGTTCTCGAGGGTAGGAGCAATGTCTCACACGAGGTGCACTGCCCCCTCTTTCCGGATGACAAGCAGGAGTACTGGTGGGTCTACATCTGCGACAGGAAATCCCACACCCTCATCACGACACCCATTCACGTGACTGGGCTCGTTGACAGGGAGGAGGTACAGCTGAGGTTCACTGCACCCGGCTGGCCAGGCCTCTACACCTTCTCGGTGTGCCTCAGGAGTGACTCCTATCTGGGATTCTATCAGACTCAGGACATCAAGGTATTGAAAACATTTTTTGTGGATATTTTGGGGGAGAGGAATCCCTGGATTTGTTTAAGGGAATTTAACGGGGCAATGAGGAAGTTTGGGAGGAAATGTCGTGAAAATTTTTTTGTGGGAAATTTCAAGTTATTTAGAATTTAGTCGGGGTTTAATCAGGGTTTAGCTGGGATTTAGTCAAGGTTTAGTTGGGATTTCGTCGGGGTTTAATCAGGGTTTAGTTGGGATTTAGTCACGGTTTAGTTAGGATTTAGTTAGGGTTTAATCAGGGTTAAGATTTAGTCAGGATTTAATCAAGGTTCAATTAGGATTTAGTCAGGGTTTAGTTGGGATTTAGTCAAAGTTTAGTTAGGATTTAGTTAGGGTTTAATCAGGGTTTAGTTAGGATTTAGTCAGGATTTAATCAGGGCTTACTTAAGATTTAGTCAGGGTTTAATGAGGGTTTAGTTAATATTTAGTCAGGGTTTAGTCGTGGTTAATCAGGGTTTAGTGAGGATTTAGTCAGGGTTTAGTCGGGATTTGATTAGGTTTTAGGAAAGATTTAGTGAGGATTTAGGCGGGGTTTACTCAGGGTTTAGTTAGGATTTAGTCGGGATTTAATCAGGATTTAATCAGATGGCCAGTCCTCTGCACCTTCTCGGTGTGCCTCAGGAATGACTCCTGCCTGGGATTCTATCAGATTCAGGATATGAAGATATTGAAGATAATTTTTATGGAGATTTTGGGGGAGAAGAATCCCTGGGTTTTTTTAAGGGAATTTATCGAGGTAATAAGGGGATCCAAGAGGAAATGTCAGAAAAGTTTTTTTCTAGGAAATTTCAAGGGCTACACAAAAATGGCTTATGACATTTTCTCCTAAATCCTCTCGTTGTCAAGATAATCAACTTTCATCAACTTTTTTTTCTTTATTTATCATTTGAATGTGGAAACTTAATGTATCAATTTATGTTCATTTATTTATTTAATAATTAATTTTTTTATTTGTAGTTGGATGTTGAAGAAGCCCCAGCAGTACTTACTCAACACCCACAATGGGACATTTCCGACGAAGAAACTGCCGAGGAGAATGACGCAGTCGATGAACATTCCGAGTACACCACAGATGAGGATATCAGTGACAATGAATGAGAAAAAAACCAAATTAATTGAATAATTCAACGTAACTCATAGATGAAGTGGTAGAACTATTCAATCATTCCAATCTTGACTAAATGTGCAATCATCTGCGTAATGAATTGATTTAGAGGAAAATCTTATTAACATTTTTTGTAGGAAATTTAATTCTCCACAAAAAATGTTTTCTGCCATTCTTTCGTAAAACTACTCATTACTGAGATAATCGCAATTAACGAAAACATTGAATTTCACTCATTGATTTAGCAGAATTGACCATTTTTATTAATTGTTTATTTATCTCGATGACAGTTGATTCGATCGAAAAATGTCATAAGATCTTTTTGGCGGAGAATTAAATTTCCAACAAAAAACTTTTTTAGCATTTTTCTCTAAAACTGAAAGGTAAAACGTGGGAACAAATTAAACAAGTGGAATAGCGACTATTTTGAACAATTCAGGACATTTTTGTTTTTAGTCGAGGGTCAAATGGTCTTAAGGGTCTCACGGGTTAGAGCAGTGACCAGAACCGGTCATTTGACCCTTGAAACAATTTTAACTTCAACGAAAACAAAAAAAAACCCTCAATTTTGAAGTTCCACCACTTCATTATCAAAAAATAATAAAAATTAACTAATTAAAGTTAAATAAATGAACTAATTAATCACAGCTGACGAAGGTAATCAGCTCGACAGCTACTGTCTTCTCAAATTCCCTTTTATACTGAAAAATCAATGAATAAAATTAAAAAAATCCGTTGCTGAGTGAATGAAATCCTTTAATTCACTCTAGATCTGAAGTAATAATTTTTTATGCGTGAAAAATTTACATCGTCATAGACAAACGACAATTTATTATTGAAGTAGACGTGTGTATGGTACTATTACGGGGCATAATTACAATGCAAGTGTGCATTATTGGGACAAATACAATAACGTTTATAAATTCATCATGGAAATTATGAAATTATACATATTATACATAAGAATAATATTTATTTTAACAATTGTTGCTCGGTATGATTAACTTTAGGGATGAGTACATGTGCACAATCTTTTTAATAAATGATATTGTCTATGAATTTATCATTATTTTCAATTGATCAATTTTTTTTTAAGTTTTTTTTCAATTTTCGATTTTTTTCTAATTTTATCTTGGAAGGGGGACAATGATCTTCATCACTACTAATTCAGGAAATTCATTAAAAAATATATTGATAGAATAACCCATTCTGCTCCATAAATACTGGAAATGTCTTTAAAAAATCGAAATTTTCTTTTTAAAAAATTATTTTTGAGGTTTTTTAAAGAAATTTTGGGGCAAAATGGGTTGTTTTCTTGGGTTAGTTGATGGAATATTTCCTGGGATATCGATTGAGGTCATTTTTTAGTGGATCTAGTGGCTTGTTTCGTTTTTTATTTATTTTTCAAGTGTTTTTAGAATTCCCTTTTCCAATTTTTTTATTGAATCTTTGGAAGAAAGTTGTGGAGAGATGTTCAGTCATCTGTGATGGATTCGATGAGAGCTGGGAGGTGGGAAAATGGTCAGTGTAGTCGCAGATTGGAGAGACGCGTGCAGAATTGTCGACAATGATCAAAGTAATTGTTATAATTTTTTTATAATTACAGTTTATGAGAAATTGTTTTGATTCTTGTGTCTCAAGAGCAAATGCTGTGAGACGTTTTTCTTTGAGAATTCCATTGACTACAAGAATTGATAATTATCAATTAATCATTTTTAATTACTCAATTAGTAGTGATTAACAACGATTTTTCTTTGTAAAATAAAATTTTAGTTTTCATACATCTTTATTCTTCGTTTATCTCCTCAAGGAGTGGTCCTAGAGAAAAATGGCATAAGATACTTTTTGTGGGGAATTTAATTCTCTACAAAAAGTGTTCCGTGACATTTTCTCCTAAAACTCCTCAGCGTCGAGATAAATGCAAAAATAATACTGAAGAATTCCCAAGTTCTCTAATTTTTCACATTTCACTGTTTAATTACAAATTTTTATAATTAACAATTTCTTTTTCAGGTATTACAAATCGTGTTTATGATATTCCTGATGATCTTGATGATGGCCAACACTTCTGAAGGTAAGAATAAATTTCCAACGATAAAAAACGAGTTTTTCGATTTAATTATTGATTAAAATTTTTTTTAAGTGTTTGAAAATTAATTAAAAATGTTGTTTCACTAGGGAAACGTCGGAGACCCTCTCCAGGACCAATTTTCACCTTCGTGAAGACAGACAAACTGGGCAACATGAAGTGGGGAGTGAGACATTACGTTCCTCGTAACTGATTAATTTCAAAAATCACTTTATTTTCACATTTCTTTAAAAAAATTAATTATAAAAATAGAAATGCATTAATTGACTCTTGTAAACTATGAAATTACAACAATTAATATATCTCTATCGAATCACATGGTTTTCTGGGTTCTGGGGAGTTTTATCTAGTCCAAGGAGCCTAGTTTGGCTTTGATGTCCTCCATTTCAGTCAAAAGTCCATTTATTCTGAAATAAAAAAATATTTTCATGAATATTATAACTGATTTTAGATAATTCCCGGTTGTTTTTTAGACATTTTTGAGTATGAAAAACGGATTAAAGAATGAGATTTCATAAAAATGCTGGACTTCCCAAATAATTTTCGCATCAAAATACGTTTTAAAATAATCATTACCAATTTCTTAAGCTACTGAGAACATCAAAATATTTTTTTCATTTTTTGTAACCACAGGAGTATTTTTTTTACGAAAAAAACTATTCCAAATTATTTTCCTGAGTAAATCAATGAATTTTCATAACAGAAAACATTAAAAAATAGATTAGTTAGATTAAATAGTGTATTTTATAATTTTTGAAATAATCATTAGTGCTTTCCTGACCCACTGAGAATATCAAAATATTTTTTCAATTTTTTTAACGACGGGAATAATTTTTTTCGTAGAAAAATTATTCCACATTTCTGAACAAATCAATGAATTTTCATAACGAAAAAGATTAAAAAATAGATTAGTTAGATTAGATACTGCATTTTATAATTAAAAAAATAATCAATAGACATTATTTTCCTGAAAAATTAATTTTTATAACAGAGAGGATTGAAAAATCGATGTTGTTTGTCACATCCGCTTAATCAGGCATAGCTCCACCCAAAAATTTCGCCGAATAAACTACTCACAAGTGTCCCAGCACGATGTTGTCCCTTACAAGATCATCCCCACCGCCTCCACCGGCCCTGGCCACCCCCACCCCCTGGCTAGCCGCCTGCAGATCCCTCTGGCACTGCCCCAGGATCATCTGAAAAGACTCCAGGGCCCTCTCCAGTTTCACCATCTCCCTCTCGAGCCCCAGGAAGTGCTCCCCAATGTCCCTCAGCCCCTCACAGCTCAACATCTCGTGCCTCACCTGCAGGAACTTGAAATAAATCTCGATCATCCTCTTGGGCTTCCTCACTTTATTCTGCTCCGACGGTAAGAACTCCATCAATACGTCAACAGCTTCTTCGAGGACACCAGACAGTCTCGAGGAGTCCACTGACGACGAGAACTTCTCGGTCCAGTTGTCCTTCTGTTCAGAGAGATTTTGAAATTCGTTTTTCATGCCTCGAGCACTCGACAGAAAATTCGAGATCCTCTTGTGGAGATCCTTCTGGTGGCAGTTCTGGAGCCTCTGGGGGGGTCTCACGTTATCCTCTGGGGGTGGGAAGACCTCCTGGAGGGACTGGTGGAGGAGGAATGAGTCTGAGAGAATTTTCTCAATTTTCTGGGAGAGAGTTGTGAAATTCGTGTTGATTAAGTCTCTGAAAAACAGAAATTCCAGGGAGTTTTTATTTTTCCTACGAATGGAGGTTTTGGATTTTTTTGGGCTATCCATCGACATCAATTAAAATTTAATTCGAATATTAATTTTCAGAATTTTCGAATTTTTGAAAAAATCAGTTGTCCCATGAAAACTAAAAATGTTCTGAATTCATTGTATGATGGCTTTAAAAATTGAAGATGAAGGCGATAGTAATAATCGTTGTTTTGATTTATCCAAGAATTTTCACAAGAAATCTAACACTGTTGCGGACTGGATCTGTCTGGATTATCAGGATGTAAAATTATATCGAGTCTCGACGGGAATAATCTTTTGTATTAGTTAACTTGTTGTAGTGATTAAATCATAGTTTGTGACTATGATAATTCGTCAGTCTTCGTGTCTATTTATTCAACCCTCTATCCGGCCTCAGCGTCCTTGCCTCCTATTCTGGGACGCACAAACACAATTGATTAAAGAAGAAATATAATTTAATTTACAAAACGATGAATGATATACGATAGTTATCATTTTCTTAATTCAATACTAAAAATAGGACTGCTAACATTTTAATACTCAAAGCGATGAGATACCCCTTGTAGAGCTCCACCTGCTGCTTCATGAAGAGCACAGTAGCCCCATAGTACCTCCTCAAGGTGTGATAATCACAAGTCTTCAGGCCTCCCTCAGCCATCCTCTGGACATCTCGAGGTAGAACTGCATCCTGAGGGGTCCCCACCAGGAGTTTCTCCCTCTCGAAGACGATGACTTCGTCACCTTCCTGAAAAAACCCCAGACCTCTCCATTATCTTGAATTCAACTCTATCGAAGGCTTCAGACGAATGTCCATCGACCCCCACGAAGCGATCCCCAACAACAGAAACATTCACCCACATAAAATCCCCAGGAAACCCTGTGGAACACCTGAATCTCCACCCATATGCCCCTCATCCGCCCCTTGAACATCTCAAAATCAGAATCTTTAATCAATAAATCACAATCAGAAACTCTCATCACATGCATATCAATAGCTTCTTGATTATCTCAGAATTATAATCTTGTATCAAAATAGCTCGATAGCTACTTGAGTGCATCAGACTTGGAATGTTTTATCAACAAATAACACTAGCAATTGGAACCTTGTGTCACAATATCTCAATAGCTACTTGATTATCGCAGACTTGGAAACTCTCATCAACAAATAACACTGGCTTCTTGAAAAAAACTCTGGAAATTTTATCACCTGAATCACAACCTGAATCTCATGTCCCATACATTTATCATACATTTCAATAGCTTCTGGAATATCTCAGGCGCTGAATCAGGCTCTCTCAGAGTTCATAACAGATGAATCAAATCAGAATACCATATCACATATGCCTCCACAGGAGCTAGAACCTCTGGAAAACGATAAATTCATCTCTTCCAAAAGGTCCATAGCACTGTCCAACGAGTCACGACCACGATCCCTCAACCCTAGTTATTAACCCATTTTGCTCCAGCAGTTTCCTTACAATTCCCAATTTTCGTTTTGACAATGAAAATTTAATTTTGTTAAAATTGAGAAATTGAATTAAATTAAATTGAATTAAAGATTGAATCGTGAATATTCCCAACTTAACTCCTATCCCTAAACAAAATTCCTTTCTTTCGAATATTTCCTGTCGAAATCGAACTGCAGTTAAATATTTTAATGAAAAGTCAAATTTTAATAATTTTAGCTTTCTTTTTAATAAAACAATTGAAAAGATAGTCCTCCGACGCTGATAATTTCTCCGGACATAACATCAACATGAATAAAATTACTTCTAGAAAATCCAGGATTTTTCCCTCAGGAGCGTCAAGCAATTTTCCTCCTGACGAAACGAGCAGTTGCTCATCAACTCCAATTTTCTCTCGTTCAGAAATAATTTTCCCCACTTCCCGAACTCTTGTGATGTTCTCGATGAGGTAGCTATCCCTCTTGTACGTCGATACGAAGAATAAATGCAGGACCTGTACATCAAACAAAAAAAATCGTTTTCAAGATTTTAGAGGTGATGAAATAGTGAGTGATTTTTTCGTGTTTGAGATGTACTTTTTTCGTGAAAATTGTCTTGAGAAAATGAAAAACTCCAACGGACGATCTTCCGTTCTCCACTATTTTTCCACGGGTCGAGGGCTGCCACTGGAGGACTAGGCGAAACCAGGGGGTCAAGGCCTCCCTCAAGCACCTGAAAATCATTTTATGAGAATTTTGAATAGTTCATTTCAGGGGATTTTTTTAAACTTACTGGGATACATTGCTGGGATCCTCGATTTTGGAGGAAAACTCGACTTTTCCGTTTACCTCCCGGGCTGAAATGTGCTCAGGCTTCTTATTCTTAATGTGACCTAGCCTGCAACACAACAAAAAAAAATTATTTGCATTTTTTTTGTGATTTTTAAGGCATTTTGAGCTATGAAAATAACATGAGAAAATAAAAATTTGAAAATGGGATTTTTTGGGGGGAAGGGGTGGGGGTAGGGGGATGAAAATAGTGTCACTGAAAAGGCGGGAAAATTTCCTATTCCAACCACTGGTCATGAACCCATTTTGCCCCAGTAGTTAATTTAAAATCTCAAAGTTTCGTTTTTGAATGCAATAACTAATTTGATCGATATCTCATCGATGAACGGGGCAAAATGGGTTTATAACGAGGTTTTTGGATCGCCAATTTTCCCAGCTTTCGAATGCGATGTGTTTTAATTTTCTATCTACAGTAGTTTAAGAGATATCGCCGATAATCGTCACGGACAACATGATGAACTACATTATGAACTCTTCAAGTACTAGAAAAAATCAGGTACCAATTTTTGCTGACCGCCATGTTGGGTAAAAATGGTCTCGTACCCGTCAGGATTTCATAGAATAAAATCCCCAGGCTCCAGTAGTCCACGGAGGAGCTGTAGGTGCCTTTCCAGAAGAGCTCTGGTGCAACGTAATTCAGGGTTCCGACAATGGATGCGGCAGCACTGGCCTCGCCCATTTCCTTGGCATATCCCAAATCTATTAATTTGTAGATGGTGCCTGATCTGCCGTCCTGAATCACGATGTTCTGGGGCTTCAGGTCGCGGTGGGTGATGCCGTTGTGGTGGAGGTACTCCACGGCGGAGGATATGTCCCTCATGCTCCTCAGGGCCTCTGTTTCGTTCAGGCCCCAAAAGTTTTCAGGTCTGATCAAGACCTGAAATTATAGGGAATTCCTCCATTCCGGAATTTCAGGTCGAGAACCTGACGAGATTAGGGAGTTCAGGGGAGTCTCATCACAAAGTCAGGGAGATTTTTTTTTGGAAATAGAGAATTTTTGGAGCTCTTCAGGCACTCGTGATACAAGCAAAGGAAATTTCGGACCTGATTTTCCAGGTCTAGGGAATCTAGGGAAATTTCCAGATATCTAGGAGAAAAATTCGGAATTACTCTAGTTGTTGTTACTAGTGAGGATTGTCTGTTTGAGATCAGGTCGTACCAATTTCGATTTTTTAAGGACTAGGGAAATTTTGGGATATCTACGGAAATTTTGAGATGTCGAGGGGAAAATGGGATATCTTCAGAATTTCAAAGACAATAATTTTTGTGGAAATGGAGGATTATTGGAGCTCTTCAGGCACTTGTGATACAAGGAAAGGAAATTTCGGACCTGATTTTCCAGGTCTAGGGAATCTAGGGAAGTTTCCAGATATCTAGGAGAAAAATTCGGAATGACTCTAGTTTTTGTTACTAGTGAGGATTGTCTGTTTGAGATCAGGTCGTGGCAATTTCGATTTTTTAAGGACTAGGGAAATTTTGGGATATCTACGGAAATTTTGAGATGTCGAGGGGAAAATGGGATATCTTCAGAATTTCAAAGACAATAATTTTTGTGGAAATGGAGGATTGTTGGAGCTCTTCAGGCACTTGTGATACAAGCAAAGGAAATTTCGGACCTGATTTTCCAGGTCTAGGGAATCTAGGGAAATTTCCAGATATCTAGAAGAAAAATTCGGAATGACTCTAGTTTTTGTTACTAGTGAGGATTGTCTGTTTGAAATCAGGTCGTGGCAATTTCGATTTTTTAAGGACTAGGGAAATTTTGGGATATCTAGGAAAATTTTGATATGTCTAGGGGAAAAATAGAAGATCTCCAGAATTGCAGTTTTAAAAAAAATTGAAGTTTCATCTTCTCAAGAGAACAAATCAGATTAGGATTATTTTGGCTAGGGGAATTTCGATAAATCTAGGGGAATTGATATTTTGATATTTCTAGGGGAAAAATTGATTTCCACCGGATTGCAGTTTTTTCGTAGCACATGCAGCTTCTCAAGATGGTCTCAATTTTTGGGATTGTTGAGGCTAGGGGAATTTTGAGATTTCTAGGGAAAAATGGAGATTCTTCGAATTATAAATTTTTTTCATTGACAGATTCATCTTTTCAAGATGCGGTAAATTTTGTGGCCCAGAAAATTTTTTATGTATCTAGGGGAAAAATGAAATGGACGAAGGCAGTGTCATAGAAGCATTTTTTGCTCATAACTCAAGAACCTGAGGAGGTAGACGAATCGTCATACTGAGTTTTCCAGCTGAAATTTCTCTGACTTTCTAATGAAAATACTCCCAATGCCCCATCTCTTCAGATTCGAAATCCCAATTTTCAAAATTAGGAGGATAAAATAAATTATTTACATCTCTCAGGTCACCCTTTCTGCAGTACTCCATGCAAAGCACTGGCAGTCGTGAATTCGGATTCATCACCCCGATGGGAATTTTTCTAGTTCCTACGATGTTTGGGTGATTAATTCGATTCATGAACTCCACCTCCTCGTTCCATCTTTCAATCTGTCTTGGTGACATTTTTGATACGTCCAATTGACATTTTTTAATTGCTGCAAAGTGTAATTGCCATGCGAATAAAAATTGAAAAATTATTTTCAAAAAATCAGAATTTTTTTTTCTCCGCAAGAAAAACAAATTTTTTTTCTCATTTTTAAAAAGAAGAAAAACATTTCCCAGTTTAAAAAATCATGACAAAATGTTTGCATTGAATGAAAAAAAAATTTTATCAACAATAAAAAAATTATTTTTAGAAATTACTTCTGAAAAAAAAAATCGCAAATCTTTGTAAAACACGGAAAAATTACTTTTCCTCCACAAAAGTTACTCTTCCCCTAAAGAAATCATACCACCATCAGCGATATGATATAAAATACCAACAAACATCAACAATTACCGAGAAAAAAAATAAATACCGTACGAACAATCTTAACCCAAAAACCTGGTCAAAAAAAAAAAAACTTGACCTCGGAAATGAAGCAAATGCTCACCTCTTGTTTCCCCATTATCCGCATTTCTCCAAAGTTCAACAACTCCGAAGGCACCACTCCCTAGGGCCTTGACCCTGGACCACACTCCGGTGTCCCTGTCACCGGAATTTTCCATATTTCCACTGGGATGACGAAGGGAGAGCCGAGACAGCAAGCAAAACAACCGAATGATTCCAGGAATTCTATAATTAGCCACAAGATGGCGACTCGGTGTCAGAAAATGGACCAATGGGAGGGCAGGAGGCAGTAATGCAGTAGAAGTCGTCCAGCTGATCGCCTGGACCCATAAAAACACGTCAACTGGCCAAAAAAAGTGATTTTCCCCCCGAATTTTCGAAATTTTTCGCATTAAAAACAGTTTTTGGGGATTTTTTTTAGGATCCTAGTGATTTTCGGGTATTTTATAGTGACAAAAACGGTGGAGGGTGTAACTTGGTATTTATTTACGTGCGTGAAGACCTCAAGCTGTCAGTCAGACGTCTCCAAACGTCCTCAAGGACATTGACAGGGCCCTAGTTTTTTTTTGCGTTTTCTAGGGGAAAATGGGATCGCTGACGAGCAGACAGAATGCTGGGGTGGAAGAGGTGGACATTGTCTCCAACCATGCCTACAAGTACCCCCCGCGATCAGGTAATATAATTTTTCTTGATTTTTTGGAGCTAGGGAAATTTTGAAATATCTAGGGGAAAAATCGGTGGCTAGAAAAAATGGGGGGAGAGGATTGAAATTGAGCTCGTTGGATAGCCAGGGAACTTTCAGGTGGAAAACACAATATGACGACTTGTTTATCTCTTCAGGGTCTCGAGGTATCGAAGAAAAACGTTTTTGACCCTAGAAATTGGTTTTTGGGGGATTCAGGTTCATGATCAGGGCTTGGAGACGGAAATTTTCCGGGCTTTCGATTCAGACATTTTTCGAGCCTCTATCACTTCCGGTTCTTGAGATATCGCAAATAATCATCCATCATCCGATTTTTTCTAAAATTTCACTTGAAAAAAAATCTCCAGGAAGTTACTTTGGAAGTCACTTCATCATGGGTGGAGAACGTTTTGACACGCCTCAGCCCGAGGCCTACCTCTTCGGTGAAAACGCCGACCTGAATTTCTTGGGGAGTCGTCCCACCCCATTCCCCTATCCCCCACCACAGGGGAACGATCCCACGAAGACCCTGAAGAGTCTCGTGAACATCAGGAAAGAGTCCCTCAGGTTGACAAGGAGCTCGGACCAGCATCCAACGTCTTCAGAGTCCAATGACACCATCAACGCTATCAAACATTTTGGCGAGAACGATGTTGATAAGAAATCAACTAAATTCAACATCGAGTTCACCTTCGACTGTGATGTAAGATGTGCAATAACTATTTATTACTTCTGCACCGAGGAGGTCACCACCAAGGGCGTCACGTAAGTCTCTCTCCAGTTCTAGTGATTGTCTTTTATATTGTCCATTTTTCTGGATTTTTTTTCGAAATTGGATCATGGGTTCTCAAGATTTCTTGGGGCTAGGGAATTTTTTAATTGTCTAGGGACAGGATTACCCTATTTTATACTAATTTTGGTTTTCAGTTTTTTTTACCCATGTTTGGGTAACTGATTTTTTCCAATTTATTTGAGCCTAGGGAATTTTTCAATGTCTAGGGACAAATTGTATACCCCTCATTTTTCTCTCGAATGCTTCCTTCTTTCAGGAATTGTTCCTCCAAGTGGAAAGAATATCAAGTTTTAAATTTTTTTAGATTCTAGGGGAATTTTGAGGTATTCATAGGGGAAAAAGAGAACGTCCTCTGGTTCTCAAAATTTCTGATTTTTTATTCCTCTAGGAATTCAAGTTCTCGAAATTCTGAAATATGAATCTCCATAATTTTTTTCAAGTCTGGGGAAATTTTGAGACATTTAGGGGAAAAAGTAGGACCTCAAATTTTTTTCCTTAATTTTTCATTTTTCTAGAAAAAAAAATTTTTCTTCATTTCTCTAGAAATCCTTGCCCTCAAAATTTCGAAATAGGAATCTCCATAATTTTTTTGACCCTGGGGAAATTTTGAGACATCTAGAGGAAAAAGTTGGATCCCTTAAACTTTTCTCTGTTCTTTCCTTCCTCTAGAAATCCATACTCTCAAAATCCCGAAATAAGAGTCTCCCCAATTTTTTTGAGTCTGGGGAAATTTTAAGACATCTAGCGGAAAAAGTAGGATCCTTCAAATTTTTTTCCCTGATCTTTCATTTCTCTAGAAATCCTTGTCCTCAAAATTTCGAAATAGGAATCTCCATAATTTTTTTCAAGTCTGGGGAAATTTTAAGACATCTAGCGGAAAAAGTAGGATCCTTCAAATTTTTTTCCCTGATCTTTCATTTCTCTAGAATATTTTTCCTCCATTTCTCCAGAAGTCCTTGTTCTCAAAATTCCGAAACATGAATCTCCATAATTTTGTTGAGCCTAGGGAAATTATGAGACGCCTAGGGGAAAAAATAGGATGCCTCAAAATGTGTCACTGACTTTCCCTTCCTCTAGAAATCCGGGTTTTCAAAATTCCGCAGTATGAATTTCCACAATTTTTTTGAGCCTAGGGAAATTTTGAGACATCTAGTGGAAAAAGTAGGATCCCTCAAATTTTTTTCCCTGATCTTTCATTTCTCTAGAATATTTTTCCTCCATTTCTCCAGAAGTCCTTGTTCTCAAAATTCCGAAACATGAATCTCCATAATTTTGTTGAGCCTAGGGAAATTATGAGACGTCTAGGGGAAAAAATAGGATGCCTCAAAATGTGTCACTGACTTTCCCTTCCTCTAGAAATCCGTGTTCTCAAAATTCCGCAGTATGAATTTCCACAATTTTTTTGAGCCTAGGGAAATTTTGAGACATCTAGTGGAAAAAGTAGGATCCCTCAAATTTTTTTCCCTGATCTTTCATTTCTCTAGAATATTTTTCCTCCATTTCTCCAGAAGTCCTTGTTCTCAAAATTCCGAAACATGAATCTCCATAATTTTGTTGAGCCTAGGGAAATTGTGAGACGTCTAGGGGAAAAAATAGGATGCCTCAAAATGTGTCACTGACTTTCCCTTCCTCTAGAAATCCGTGTTCTCAAAATTCCGCAGTATGAATTTCCACAATTTTTTTGAGCCTAGGGAAATTTTGAGACATCTAGGGAAAAAATCCGATGAGTGAAGGAAGGGGCGGCAGCCCCCCCCCCTACTATACCCAACTAAAGACCCCTCCCCTCAGGTACACACCCCGAGACCCATCAATGAATTCCGAGACCTTCCACTACAAGAAAGGCGCCAACCAGCTCTTCACCCAGTCCTCCCACGTGTTCGACCCGACCCTCTACAACGAGGAGGACCTCATCTACAACACTGAGCGCGAAATAATACCAATAGCGATTCACTGCGTCGCAGAAGAGGGTTCCGACGAGCCGCGTCAGTCTCACACGACGATAGCCGTCGTCGAGAAGCACTCGGACGGCTCCTACATCCTGAAGGCCCTGAAGCAGAAGCTGTACGTGGACGGTCTCTGCTACCTCCTCCAGGAGATCTACGGCATCGAGAACAAAAACACGGAGAACACGAAGCAACAGGGGAGTGACGACGACACGGAGGACAACGGCTCCGAGTGCGTCATCTGCATGTGCGACGTCCGTGACACCCTGATCCTGCCGTGCAGGCACCTCTGCTTGTGCTACGGGTGCGCGGATTCTTTGAGGTATCAGGCGAACAACTGCCCCATCTGCAGGGCACCCTTCCGAGCCCTCCTCCAGATCAGGGCACTCCAGAAGGCGACTGGAGTGGTCATTTCCAGCCCACCACTTCCTGAGGTAATCGTCTGTTCAATTGAGCTTTATTCAAGGCTTCAGGCAAATGCCCATCGACCCCCAGGAAGCAATTCCCATCAACCGAAACATTCACCCACATAAAATCCCCAGGAAACCCTGTGGAACACCTGAATCTCCACCCATATGCCCCTCATCCGCCCCTTGAACATCTCAAAATCAGAATCTTTAATCAATAAATCACAATCAGAAACTCTCATCACATGCATATCAATAGCTTCTTGATTATCTCAGAATTATAATCTTGTATCAAAATAGCTCGATAGCTACTTGAGTGCATCAGACTTGGAATGTTTTATCAACAAATAACACTAGCAATTGGAACCTTGTGTCACAATATCTCAATAGCTACTTGATTATCGCAGACTTGGAAACTCTCATCAACAAATAACACTGGCTTCTTGAAAAAAACTCTGGAAATTTTATCACCTGAATCACAACCAGAATCTCATGTCCCATACATTTATCATACATTTCAATAGCTTCTGGAATATCTCAGGCGCTGAATCAGGCTCTCTCAGAGTTCATAACAGATGACTCAAATCAGAATACCATATCACATATGCCTCCACAGGAGCTAGAACCTCTGGAAAACGATAAATTCATCTCTTCCAAAAAATCCATAGCACTGTCCAACGAGTCACGACCACGATCCCTCAACCCTAGTTATTAACCCATTTTGCTCCAGCAGTTTCCTTACAATTCCCAATTTTCGTTTTGAAAATTAAAATTTAATTCTGTTAAAATTGAGAAATTAAATTAAATTAAATTGAATGCCTCCACAGGAGCTAGAGCCTCTGGAAAACGATAAATTCATCTCTTTATGCTCCAGGGAAATTGTGAGAATATTCCATCGGGTTATGAGGCCGTGTCCCTGATCGAGGCCCTGAATGGCCCGTATACACCCAGAACAGCTGCTCTACCCCCAGACTCACCTGACACTCCAGACACCGACACTGCCAGTGCGATTCAGGCTGCCGAGGTCCTTAACAGGTACGTTTGCACTTACCTGAATCCTCCCCTGAAGAGCCAAAAAATTCGACCTAAAAATCGGGGGTCGAAAAGTACCCCATCGTGTAGCCCAGAAAATTTCCGCTTCCAAACACTGGTCACAAACCCTTTTTGTCCCATTCGTTCTCAAAATATTCGCAAAACAAGATGTGACCTCGAGTTGACCTTGAAAACAAAAAAGCACCGCCAGAGGTTTAGGACCAGGGTTTCGAACCGAAAATCTCCCCAGCTGCTCAATGCGCCCCGTTTTGCCCCCCCAATCTCCAAAAATAGATTTTCCCCATCAGATCAGCTGAGCGGACACCAGTCCTGAAGCACGCAAATCAGAAAGAGGGTGACCTTGGTGTGTCATCAAGGTCAGGTGGCGTCACCCCCTGTCCAACCCCGGAATTCCGTATGTCCGTCCTCCTGGCGAGAGACGAGAGCCCACTCGGGCAGAAGGATCTCCACGGAAGATCCCCAGGGGTCAGGGCCAAGGTTCAAGGTCACTGTCGCGATAAGACTGGCCACAAGGGCCGGGATATGTTGCGATTGGTGAATGAAAAACAACCGGCTGTTTACGAGGGTCAGGGCCAGGATGAGGACAGCGAGGCCGAGAAACTCTCTCCCCTCTTGGACTCAGCAACCACCAATGACAATCACTCCAATCATCGCATTTGTGACATTGACCTTGACGATGATATCCCCAATGCCGAGACAGAGGGCGATACGGATATGAATTGTCACTCCCATTGACAAAGGCGGATAAACGTCTACACGAATTTAATGTCCGAATCGCCCCTCATTCGGAAAATGCAGAATCAATATTGAGGTGTGTGGGGGGAGGGGGAGAAACGTCCGTCTCCAGACCCTGGTCATAAGCCCATTTTGCCCCGTTAGTTCCTTGGCAATCTTCGAAAGAATAATTTTCACCTGAAGATTGGGAACGGGACGAAATGAGGTTATGACCAGGCCTTGGAAACGGGGATTCCCCTGGCTATTGAATGGAAATGGTCTCGAGGATCCGTCGATTAACCCTCAAAATCGATAAATGCTGATAACGGCAGCTGATGGATTGATGACGCAAATGACAGATTTAGGAGTCTTCTGATTAATAATGAGGATAAAATTATGACTGGCTATTGGACTTGATAAATTGAACATATATTCCAGAACAAATTGAAATTGTATTATAAATTTTTATGTAGGTGCAGATTAATTTTAGAATTTTTATATCGAAAATGATGAAATAGTGAGTATTGAGTATTCGTATTGAAATATTCTAGGCTTAAGTGTAGATTATTAACGTTAAATGTCCAATTTGTATGTAAATTGTAACTAGGGGGTAGTTTTTTTTAATTAGTCGGTAATAACTGAGCTGAGCAAATTGTTTAAATCGAGGTAATAAATGTAATGCCAACATATTACTTGAAATTTGGTGTTATTTTTTGGTGTTTGGTGTTATTTTTAACATTTCCAGATCGGAACACTGGACATAAGCCCATTTTGCCCCCTTAGTTGTGTCGCAATCTTCAAAAGAACAATTTTGACCTGAAAGTTAAAAACGGGACGAAATGAGGTTATGACGAGGGTTTGGAAACGGGGATTCCCCTGAATATCAAATGGCACTGGTGTCGATGTGCTATCGATCAAACTGAAAGCTCGATAAATGATGTCAGCAGTTGATGGATTATAACGAAATTTATCTTCACTCCAAAGCCACCTTCGAAAGTAATTCCACCGATTCCGACAGACCCAGATCAGCCTTCCTCAACGAATCAGCAATCCCTTTATTCCCATAAATTTCAAGTCTTTTCCCCACCGTATTATTCAGCGCCCCTCGGTCAACGATTCCAATATCATTGAAGCTCAATTTCAAGCAATCAGTGCTGAACCCCGCAAAATCATCAACACCAATTCGCCTCAATCTATTAAACGACAGATCCAACACTTCCGTTACAAAACCCCTGAAAGCTCCGGGCTTCAGTTCCACAATGCGATTTGCGTTGAGAACCAGACGAAGGGCCGAAAGCCCATTGAATGTCTCAGTCTCGATGACTCCGATGTCATTAGAAGCAAGTGTCAACTCATCGAGAATCAGTCGACCAAACGCACCTGGTGTTATCACTCCAATCTTGTTGCCAGATATGTCAAGCGTCCTCAGTCGCTTGAGCTTCTCAAACACTCCCTTGGGGATACTCTCAATCCTGTTGAAGGGCATGCGTAGCTCTCGCAGTCGAGGAAGACCAGCAGCTAGGTCAGCTGTCTCGAAGGCGCCAGGTCGAATACCAGTGATTCCATTCTCCGTCAAGTCTAGCACCTCCAGATGCTTCAGAGCTGCGAAACTGTTCGGACGAACATCTCGGATCTGATTATTACTGAGCGAAAGGCTTCTGAGATTTGGGACAAAGGCCAGCACGTCCCTTGGTACTTCCGTCAAGTTGCTTCTTTCGACTTCCAACTTCTCCAGTAATCCGAGTGGAGCCAGTGCACTCCCATCGTTGAAGTTGATGAGGACTCGGCGCAGCGATAGTCTCTTCAGACTTGTCAGGCCAGCAAAGGATTCTGGCAGGAGTGACAGCGATGGTTTCACGTCTTTCCTCCTCCAGGGACCCTCGATCCAAAGACTGCTGATGGACAAGTTGCTGAGCGCGTGGCGACCGATCGTCGTTTTACTTTCGTCAGCCAATTCCAATGTTAATTCGCCTCTGGGCGGAGAGTTCTCGTCAACGCAGCCAGTCAGGGTATCAGACTTGCTGCAGACTTGGAGATCGTCGTCAACTCGTCTGCAGACTTCACCTTCCTCGAACACCGATGACACGAGGATGATCAGATTCAGTCCGATGAGGAGCTTCATTGTTTCAGAGCTGTCTTGGTACTGAGGAGACGAAAATTGGGGCTGATGGAGTGATGAAGGGAAATGTATGGAAATGTTATTTGAGATATCGGTTCAGTTATCAGTTGCGAGGGGATCTCAACTCTGCCCTCTTCAATTATCAGTATATTATGACTTGAGATTGCGTGGGAGTTGCAGTATTTGGTCATGTGTACAGCGCATTCGCAACTATATTTCTTCCTACGGGAACTTTTTTTTCCCGCAGTACTGACTTATGTAATGTATGAGGAGTCTACATGTGAGAAAGAGAAAAAAATTGAAAGGCCTTAACTTTAGATAGCGGATACGACGTATCCGTTTCTGGAAAAACGCCTTCCTGTAAAGACTTTGTAATTGATAGCACGCCATTTTAGAGAGTAAAAATAAATCTAAAGTATAATTTATTGTGGCTAAAAAAATGTTTAATTTTTGCTGGATGTAAGAAAAAGAAGGAAACGTAATTCATTAATTACGCATCGTGGGTCTTCAATATTGACTCACTTTGATATTTATTTTGTTTGGTTTAAAGCAGCAGTAACATTTTATAGGAGGAATGAATAAGATAAGATGAGAAGTTCATTATTTAGGAATTTAAACAAAATTTTTACACAGCAGAAAGACATGTTTGGAGCGAATAAGCAGAAAAATACTATCAGAGCAGTAAGCAAATTGTGAATTGTGAGTAGTACAATAGATCTTGATAGATTTAGGTGGCATAGGGCGCTTCGCGCGCCTAGTCGCTCCATTCGAAATTCTAAAAAAAATTCTTTCATGTATTTACCGTCAGCGGTCAACCACCATTACTTTTTATTGGCTCTATCGAAATCATTAATGTCTACTGTTGGGAGTTCTCTAGAGTAAATTCAGTAGCGAAGTGATCAAACGGCTTAAGTCGATTTTGACTGCTCATGAGTTTTCAATGAATATCTCCCAATCCAAGACAGATAACTAAATTTCGGTTATGACCTTTTCGGTAGAGCACATTAAGAGCTTCAAAAAAGATATTCACGAAAATTTCGCTATCTCCCTTAGATTTTGAGATATTCCTCGAAAACTCAGCTAAGAGCACTTCACTACTGAATTCGATATTTATGTTGATTGACCCCTGAGGGTCCTGGGGTTTACGCATGCGTCGAATTATTCACCCTCATCCCCTGGACCTTGAGAGGGGTGTCAGCCACCCCCAAACAAAAACATCCCCACCCATATGACTCAGTGATTAGAAACTCGATCAGCCCTGGTGCTTGAATTCTTCTCGGAGAGATTTTCCAACTCGGGTGGACGATGACGGAAGTGAAGAAGGACGACGTCGTCAAGATCCTGCATACCTACCCCCTGTGTCGAGTGAGTTTCCGTCAATTTTTTATGCATTCGCGGAGGATATTCGGGGTTTATTGATCAGTAAACAACCCCACGTATCCAAGAACACGTTTTAGATGGAAAATTGAATCGATGGTTGATCATTACGAGAAGTTGATCAACATAATAATTACCAATTTGTCAACATTGAATAATGGTTAATGAAAATTAGTTGATTGAAATGATAATCATTGCACAAATTACAATAATAATTGTCCTGATACTTGAGATTTTTCAATTATCGCAGACATTTAATTTGGGGTGAAATAATTATTTGTTTGCAATTAAAATGTTGAAAGGCTAGAAGGAAGTCAATTGTTTTTTCTTTGGCAGGTGAATTTTCCTTGTTTTCTAATGAGTCTATCATCAACCATTAATCACTTGCGGTTGTTGGTAATTTTTAAGGAATGCCCTAATTGAAAAACAATGTTTTTCCGCAAATAAATGGAATTTGTTTTAAAATTCTCTGCAATCATTGAAAAAAAGTCATCATAAATTTTGAATAATCAACAGAAATGTGACATGACAGATGAGATGAAGCAGGAAGCCATGGAATTGTGCGTAACAGCAGCTGAAAAATATGCGGACAACTACGAGAATGTCTCAAGGATGATAAAGGAGACGATGGACAAAAAATTCGGGGCCTCCTGGCATACTGTCGTCGGCGAGGGCTATGGCTTCGAGATAACGTATCAGTTGAAACATCTTCTGTACATGTACTGCGCGGGGAATTTGGCGATTTGCATATGGAAATCCGCTTGAAAAATCACCAAAAACAACAACAATTGCAATTGGAGGATCGAGTGAAGTGAAAAAACGTGAATATTTTCTGAATTTGGAGAGATGGAACTGTGAAAATCATTTCGTTAGATAGTCGGGAAAATTTGCGATTCCAAACCCTGGTCATGAACCCATTTTGCCCCATCTATCGATAGAATATCGATAAAATCGTTTTTTTCACTTAAAATGAAAATTGCGAAGTTTTAGATAATGACAGAGGCAAAATGGGTTCATGACTAGGGTTTGGGATCGGAGATTTTCCAGGCTATCCAATGAGCCATCAGTCAATTCCCTCCCCCCACTCCTTCTCTCAAAAATCACGAAAAACATAAAAATGGGGTGATTTCTTCACTTCACTTGATCAAAACAAAACAGACGAGTGAAATTGCAATAAGAATATAAGAAAAAAAATATCTCAGGATGAAAATTCACTATTAATCATAAGGAGATTCTTATCAACAGTGCAACCACGTGGAGAAATTTGTTATATCCCTGAATCCCCTTTTTACCATGAAGATGAAAAAGTAATTAAGTTAATTTTTTAAACTAAAATAAATGGAATGAAATGACGAACAAAACTGATGTACGAAGAAAAGATGAATAAATCGATGTGATTGATGTTTAAAAATGATTCCACGACTTTTCTTCCCCGACAAAATTTCCCCCCCGAAATTTCCTCGTGCCAGTTTTTCTTCGGCTTTTTTTTCCCCAACATTTGTTCCTGAAAAACGCATGATAACCCGAATTTTCCCCCTCTCATTTCCGGCCAATTCATGCAATTCATTTATTTACGGAGAAGGAAAAACTGTTCAATATTCAATTCCTCTAATAAAAATCTTCATTGTGGGGGAAGGAAACATCAACAAACAAAACAAATTTCTCCCACAGCTGCTAATAGCGTTGAGAGAGGATCATCGATTTTCTCTTGCTTGTTGACTATTGTAATGAGTGGGGATAATCCTCACGTATCACACCTAGGTAACGATCAAATTCTCCCAATTTCAACAGTTTCGATGAGTTTCTCACGAGAACAGTGTTCATCACAATGCCACTCTCGTTCATTATATCCCAGAAAGGGAACAAAATGTTACATTTGAACGGTCATGTCCACTACTTACACTCACAAGTTAAGCGTTTTTGAGGAAAAAATGTCGGGGGGAAAAAGGATCGAGGAAAAGATGGCACGAGGAAATTTTGGGGGGAAATTTTGTTGAGGAAATTTTGTCGGAGAACAAAAGACGGGCCACCTTAAAAATCTCTTTCTTCCCTTGACTCTCACTAATGACAATGACCTTTAATTCAATATTCAATTGCGCGTTCCACTTTCGAAAAAATGAACGTGGGTTTTTAATGAAAAAATGATTTTATTCATTAACTGTTGAATCCAGCGACAGTTCTGAAGATCAAAACAGCGATGTTTCCCCCCGTGTACATGTGCATCATGGTATTCCTCTGATAGATGACGGAGAATCCGTAGGACTCGCCGACGATTACCTGGAAGGGCGCTCCAAACTTCTTGTCCAAGTCGTCTTTTATCATCTTCGCCGCGTGCTTATAATCATCCGAAAATTTTTCAGTGGCGGTGACGCACACCTCCAGGGCCTCCTGCTTCATCTCCTCGGGCATGTCGGAGGTCTTGCAGACGGGATAGGTGTGGAAAACCGGGGGAATTATCTCTTTCTTCACCTCGCCGGTTGCCATGACGGATTTTTCATGATTCAATGAGAAGTTGGCTCAATGACGATTCCATTCTTTCCGCGTTTTTGAGAGAACGACTGAGTTTAAGGGGATGAATGACGGCTCGCTGAATAGCCCGGAAAATTTCCGATCCCAACCACTGGTCACGAACCCGTTTTGCCTCGTTACTTCCTCCGTCATCAGCGATTGTCATTTTTAGAGGGAAAATCAATTTTGACGAAATCAATGTTAACGAATCCAAAACGGAGTGTCATCTTCCCGACTTCAAAAATGTACCGTAAATCCTTCTACCTCTCTAACAACCTCATCAACATTACTAACACAGCGAAATACCTAGGTCTCACGTTAAACAAAAAATTGCTCTGGACTCAACATATAGCCCAAACAAACCAAAAAGCTAAAGCCATTATGGGCAGGCTCTTTCATTTATTTAAATCAGAAGCTCTATCCACAAACATTAAACTCAAGCTGTATAAAGCTCTGATAAGACCAATCTTGACCCATGCCGCCCCAATCTGGCACAACGCGGCCGACACACACATCTCCAAACTACAAATTACCCAAAACAAATTTTTACGTGTAATTAATAACGAATATCGCAGCACCCCAATCCAACACCTCCACGATATCTCAAATATCGAATACATCAGTGAATTCATATCTCGTCTCATTGATGAATTTGCACAAAACCTTGATTCACACCCAAATCCCCTTGTCAATAAACTCAGCCCCTACTGGATTTCAAGATGGTCAACACAGCTGCAAGATATATTCATAATAAATGCACGATTAAATTCATTAATAATATTTAAAATCTCCCTGCCCCTGCAGGGACTTTTGGTTTGGATACATCCATGAAAATGTGAAAATGGTACTGTTGTTATCATCATCATCATCATCATTTCAATCTGTACTCACAGACCATAAGCATCGTTGAAAATCCAATTGCATGGAACTGTTAAACTAAAATAAAAAGAGAAACTTGAGTTTTTCAATGTTTTTTTTATTCAATTATCGATGTCCAAAAATGATCAAATCACTCAGGCTGAGGCCAAGTACTCTCTGAACTTCTTCCACGCGTCGAGGGGTCCGTGCTCGGGCAGATACTTGACGTTGCAGCCATCGGGGGCCAGACGTCCAGCAGCCTTGAGCTCCTCGTACTCAGCTCGATCGTACTTGGTGAATCCCCACTTCTTGGAGACGTAGATCTTCTGACGACCTGGGAACTTGAACTTGGCACGCCTCAGTGCCTCGATGACTGAGGCCTTGTAACGGTCAGAGGACCTGACACTCATGATTGGCTGGCCAATGCGAACACGAGCCACTGTACCCTGGGGCTTGCCGAAGGCACCTCTCATCCCAGTTTGGAGCCTGGGGAGAAAGAGGGAATTTTTTAGATGTTGTTTGATTTGTTATTTATCCTGAGAAGGAGTGGTTTTAGGGGAAAATGCTGAATTACATTTTTTGTGGGGAATTTAGTTCTGTAGAAAAATGGTCTTTTCACATTTTACTGTGGAATCACTCGGTGATCGAGATAATTGAATAATTATAAAGATGTAACAGTTGATTTGTCAAGTTTTTAATTTATCAAAATTTGTTAGATATGCACTAGCCTTTAATTAATTGAATTAAAACATTATTTGTCACACTTGTTTTTTGTATAGGACAGTATTTTTCAGGTGAAGGGATGACGAAGAATTTTTTTTTCAGAGTTTTGTGCACGGAAGTCTGGGAACGAAAGAAGAGTGGATTTTTTAGGCGTTGATTAATGTGTTATTTATCTTGAGAAGGAGCGGTTTTAGGGGAAAATGCTGAATGACATTTTTTGTGGGGAATTTAGTTCTGTAGAAAAATGGTCTTTTCACATTTTACTGTGGAATCACTCGGTGATCGAGATAATTGAATAATTATAAAGATGTAACAGTTGATTTGTCAAGTTTTTAATTTATCAAAATTTGTTAGATATGCACTAGCCTTTAATTAATTGAATTAAAACATTATTTGTCACACTTGTTTTTTGTATAGGACAGTATTTATCAGGTGAAGGGATGACGAACAATTTTTTTTTCAGAGTTTTGTGGACGGAAGTCTGGGAACGAAAGAAGAGTGGATTTTGTAGGCATTGATTAATGTGTTATTTATCTTGAGAAGGAGCGGTTTTAGGGGAAAATGCTGAATGACATTTTTTGTGGGGAATTTAGTTCTGTAGAAAAATGGTCTTTTCACATTTTACTGTGGAATCACTCGGTGATCGAGATAATTGAATAATTATAAAGATGTAACAGTTGATTTGTCAAGTTTTTAATTTATCAAAATTTGTTAGATATGCACTAGCCTTTAATTAATTGAATTAAAACATTATTTGTCCCACTTGTTTTTTTGTATAGGACAGTATTTTTCAGGTGAAGCGATGACGAAGAAAGAGTGGGTTTTTTTGGTGCTGTTAAATGTGTTATTTATCCTGAGAACGAGTGACTTCAAGGAAAATGGCAAAAGAATTGCTTTCTGTGGAATTTAATTCTCCACAAAAAAAAATCAATTTTGACATTTTGAGCCAGAATTACAAGTTTATGAGATATTTGAAGAATTGTGAAGGTAAAAATATTCATTTCACCAAGTTTTTGTTTTTAAAATTTTTGTTAATTATGGATTCTTCCACCGAATGCTGAGAAAAAAATCTTCGTTCGTTTCACTCTTAACGATCCATTCTATTCAAAGTGTTTTTAACATTTTGAAATATGAAAAAAAGGTTCTTCACCGGAAAACCCAATGTTGATTTAAATTTCTACAATTCCCTCAACATTCACAACACGTGATAAGAATAATTAAAACACTGAAGAACGGAAAAAACTATTATTGACGTCAATCAAGAGGGAGGAATGGATTGAATTGAGGATTCGAATGATATTCACCTATCAGCCCCAGCACAGGACAACATTTTGTTGATCCTGATAACATGGAAGGGATGGAGCCTCATGCGAATGTGGAACTGATCCTTTCCCGCATTCTTCACCATGTACTTGTTGCAACAAATACGGCCTGCCTCGAGGGCCTCTGAGCTCAGCTGTTCGTACTCATCAGAGACTAGATGAACGCAAAGTGGAAAGTCCTCAACACTCGCCTTCTTCTTTCCCAAGTCGAAAATGCGAATCTTCGGGTCTGGGACACCACGACAGAAACGAGACTTCGGGTAGGGCTTGTTTTTGCAGTAGCGATAACTAAAAAAGTGAAGAAAAAAAATAATCGTCTATGAATTTCTCAAAAATCCACATTGACAACATTTTTACGACTTTTTAACATTTCTAAAAAACAAAGGGGTGGAGGTGGATGAATAAAATTTTTTTCATTAGAAGGCCAGGGAAATTTCCGGCTCCAAACTCTGGTCATGAACCCATTTTGCCCCAGTGGTTCAAAAGATACCCGAGAAAAACGGTTTTCACTCCGAAACGAAAATCCATTGTAGCTATCAACATACTGGGGCAAAATGGGATCATGACCAGGGTTTGGAATTGAAAATTTTTCTGACTAGATGACGGGGTCATTTTTAACCTCGAAATCGGAAATTTTGAATTTTTTGAATCTTATAATTTGGCGATTTTCCACGATTTTTAGTTTTACGATTCTAATAAATATTTTACTTATAAAAAAAATGTTCTGCACTTTGAAAAAAATTTTTTTTTTCAATTATTGAATGGTTAAAAATTCTGGGGATTGAATGTTTTTAATTATTTTCATCATTAACTAATTTATTTCATCATGTGAGGAAATCGAGTCACCAGAGCCCTTGAAAGACTATTTTCTAACCTCAAAATTTTTTAAACATTTGCAGAAAAATATTTGACCATTTCACGACGATTTTGATGATTTAATTCACTAAATTACGGAGAATGTCTCGTGAGACGATTTGTACCAATGAAAAAATATTTCGAAGAATTATTAAAAACAAACAGCATGACAACTCACCATCTCGCTGGTCGACGGCCCATGATTGACCTGCAATTAACCACAAAAAACCTTGATTAATCCAAAAAATATACCCAACACCGCTCCCTCCAAGTATCAATCACCACAATTATCAAACGTAAATATTTAAAAATTGAACGATTGCTCCTACATAAACGGAATAAAATGGGGAAAATTGTTAAACGTACCGATCCCTCAGGAACTTCTCGAGGGAAAAGGAGCGCTCGTTCGGAAATTGTCGGCAAAGATCGTGGGAACGAACACAGATGGTCGATGCGATTGAAAACGACTAGGGGATTTTCATGTAAATGTCAACAGGTGGCGACACGATGTCATAAGAACATTCGTTTTCAGAGAGATGTTGTATTTCTTCCCGACAATATCACTTCAAATCGTCAAGAAATGCAATTTTTCAAAGGGCAAAAGTATTTTTTAACCCTAAAGTTCATTTTGAGATGATTGTGTCTCTCATTTCGGGAAGTTTATGATTTATTTAAGATTTTTACATCATCTTGATTCATTCCAGAGACGATTTCTTAGTGAAATATTTAAATTAACAAAACAATTCTCTTTTTTAATGTGAAGGTTCTATTTTGAATGTGAAGTTTTTGAATTTTCCCACTGCTATTCGATTTACAACAATAACCAATGACGTCAATCCACCAATGACAGCCCCCCCCCTCCCGCTTCGCCCGCGCTGATTTTTCCCACCAAAATCTTACTTCCGGATTTTTTTTTCATAAAAGAGATTTATAATTAATTATCCGATTTTATTCATTTAGTGCGGAATTTGGGGATTTATTGGACAATTTCGTGAGTCGTCTGACGAGATGTTACGACTGTTGGATTTATTTATCACCGATTTTCATGTTTGTTGCAAATGGGTGTCCATAACCCGCCAATCACAGCCTTCCCCCTCGGTCCGTGCCCGCCAATTTTTTCCCCTGCCGCCATTCCGCTGTTGTCTTCGCGAAAGGCTAGACGTGTGTTGTGACTGTTCGAGGATTCCGATCCTCTCAGGGAATTCAAAGGCCCTGAATATAAATAAAAAGCGACAGTGGAGGTGCCGGGACTCCCCTGACGAGTGAGTTTGGTAGTAAAATGATAATTTTGTGGGATTTGAGATTTTTTTGCGGGATCCTTGGACTTTTGGCGAATGTGGACGTGTGTTGTGACTGTTCGAGGATTCCGATACTCTCGGGGGATTCAAAGGCCCTGAATATAAATTAAAATTGCACTTGAGGTGCCGGGACTCCCCTAACGAATGAATTTGATAGTGAAATCATAATTTTGTGGGATTTGAGATTTTTTTTCGGGATTCTTGGACTTTTGGCGAATGTGGACGTTTGTTGTGACTGTTCGAGGATTCCGATCCTCTCAGGGAATTCAAAGGCCCTGAATATAAATAAAAAGCGGCAGTGGAGGTGCCGGGACTCCCCTGACGAGTGAGTTTGGTAGTAAAATGATAATTTTGAGGGATTTGAGATTTTTTTTGCGGGATCCTTGGACTTTTGGCGAATGTGGACGTTTGTTGTGACTGTTCGAGGATTTCGATCCTCTCGAGGGATTCAAAGGCCCTGAATATGAATTAAAATTGCACTTGAGGTGCCGGGACTCCCCTAACGAATGAATTTGATAGTGAAATCATAATTTTGTGGGATTTGAGATTTTTTTTCGGGATTCTTGGACTTTTGGCAAATGTGGACGTTTGTTGTGACTGTTCGAGGATTCCGATCCTCTCAGGGAATTCAAAGGCCCTGAATATAAATAAAAAGCGGCAGTGGAGGTGCCGGGACTCCCCTGACGAGTGAGTTTGGTAGTAAAATGATAATTTTGAGGGATTTGAGATTTTTTTTGCGGGATCCTTGGACTTTTGGCGAATGTGGACGTTTGTTGTGACTGTTCGAGGATTCCGATTCTCTCGGGGGATTCAAAGGCCCTGAATATAAATAAAAAGCGGCAGTGGAGGTGCCGGGACTCCCCTGACGAGTGAGTTTGGTAGTAAAATGATAATTTTGAGGGATTTGAGATTTTTTTTGCGGGATCCTTGGACTTTTGGCGAATGTGGACGTGTGTTGTGACTGTTCGAGGATTCCGATACTCTCGGGAGATTCAAAGGCCCTGGATGTGAATAAAAAGTGGCAGTGGAGGTCCCTGGCGGGTGAGTTTGATAGCGGAATCATAATTTTTTTGAAATTCTTGGACATTTTCTATTTTGAATGTGAAGTTTTTGAACTTTCCCACTGCTGTTTGATTTAGGGGAGGGTGGGGTAAAACGGACACTTTAGACTTTTTTTTAATTATGCATAATTCAGAAAAAAATTGATCAACTGAGCTCAGTTTACGCTCGTCACAAAGGGAAAGAATTGTTCTTTGTATTGAAGAAAAATTATTAAATTTTATCGATATTTCAACCCCTCATTAACATTTTTAAAAAAAGTCAAAAGTGTCCGTTTTACCCCAACCTCCTCTACGACAACAATCAATAGCGTTAATCCACCAATGACAGCCCCCCCCCTCCTCCCTCGGTCGTTTTCCACCCCAAAATCGTACTTTCGGGTTTTTTTCATAAAAGAGTTTTAAGAATTAATTATTCGATTTTATTCATTGAGTCCGAAATTTGGGGATTTATTGGACAATTTTGGGAGTCGTCTGACAACATATTACGGCTTTTGAATTTATTTTTCATCAATTTTCCAATTTGCCGCAAACGGATGTCGATAATGATAATGAATATTCAACGTCATTCAAATTACATTTTGCCCAGAATTATCATCTACTTAACATTCGTTGTAAATAAATAAATAATTGAAATTGTTCAAACTTCCGGAAACATTTTTTTACACATGAAATCGATTTCTGGTAAAATTCTGAATATGAATAAATTCGTTACCAGTCCGAACAAATAATTTTTTATGGTGGAACATTGATTGTTTATAAATTATTTATAAAACCTGCTGGTAATTTTAAAAAATTGCAATTTTTTAATGATTTCATCAGTCTTTCTCTAAAAGTAATCTTTCTAATTTTTTCTCAGTTTTTTCAAATGTTTTCTAATGACTCAATATCGATATTCAAATTCAGACCTACAAAGTTTAAATAATGAAATCATTGTAAAATGGCCGGAAACTTGAGGTCAAATGAGGCTTAAATGAAAGCTCTGATGATCGACTACAAAAGTTTGAAAGCATTTCATTGGAGTAAAAATAGCCGAAGTACTTGGATATCTTTAATGGAAAAATTGTTTCGAAAATATAGAGAATTACAGAAAAATCAGAAATATCCATTCTCTCCCCTCGCTCTTGGTTAGAGGATTAGACAAGCGAAAATAAATTAATATCGAAGATTATTCATTCTTTGAGGATTATTCATTTATACATTCCAAAGCATGAAATTAATTCAGAGAATAAAATACTTTCAACTACTAAAACTTCAAGAAACTTGCTCACAATTTAATTTTCAATTCAATTTATTTTTCGGGGTTCAAAAATGTCAAGGGGAAAACCGATTTACTGGAGATCATCGGATTACCAGCGTAAGGGGTACGAGTCAGGATTGTGTCAGGCTGAGTGGAAAGTGTCTTCATGATATTCTCAAATAATGAAATTAGATGCACGATAGACTTTTTCTATTATCAAATAGTTCAACAACTGAAGACTTTCCGAAATTCTGAAAATCACGTGTGGCTTAATCTTGTGTCCCGTACTGTGGTTCAATCTCTTCATGCCACATGTGAAGAACAACGATAAGGCGAACTGCGCAAGTACGAAACACATGAAGTGTGCACCAACTTCAGTAAATGTAATAAAAGACAGATTCTTGTCGTGCAAACAGTCTAGATTTTCTGTCAATTTTGTCATATTAAATTTGGTACACATGGGGTTACGAGCACTAGCCATTTGATTACCTTGGTATACGATTCCTTTATTCAAATTTACAGATAATTACAGATAGCGCATGTCACAGTTCTATTATGGAGATTTCATCCAAAAACTACATTTTTTTCTGGAATTCATGGGGCTTTCCGCTGGACAGTGGAAAGCTTCTGCGAATTCCCGACTATTGGCGAGAGCACTATTTACTCGGGCCTCTGAAAGACTGTGCAAAGAGAACCAGTCCTTTCTAGATTCGTTCGCGCTGATTCCACACCACGCCTGGAAAGACAATTAACAAAACCATTAACAAAGGATATTAGCCATTTACAATAATGAGAACATACCTGACTGAAGGATATGAAAAACATCTGTTCATCGGAAAATTTTTCGAATGTGGGGAGCTTCAACTTCAAATTCACTTTTTTATTTTCTTGGAGGCGTTTGTAAGCTTCCAATGATGCTTGGAAACCTATTATGTCTGGAAATTCTTTGTGAAAGTCGATTCCGTCCGCCTTTATGTTTCTGCTATGATAATTCCGTAAATGGTCTTGGATGCAGGGATATTGTTGACTTGAGTTATCCCACATACCTAGATGTAGAAGGTCGCTCAAACCTTCGTCACCATTGTCTATTGAAGAGGGGTAAAACATTACATTACGTAATAGAACGTGACGGAATTTTTCTGAACTTACGCGGGGCCTCGAGAGCACGGCCCAATTGATGACCAATTGTCATTCCTATGACTGCGTAATTTATGTAACTGTAAAGAAATATTTTATGTGACGCACGAGACACTCGAGGCATTTTGTTTCTAATTACTTATCGTTGTCTAGTACTTACTCAGGTAATTTGTGTCCGAAACTGGGCGGAAGAAGTAGAGCTGCGGGAATATCTAGAATAGAATCGATAAAGACTAATGACGGAATTACGCCGGTCTTGATAAATCATTATATCGTGTGCCCGTAGAATGAATAACCACAGAAATTATCAAAAATGACAAAGAAACGTGCCGGTTCCAGATTGTTTTTTTTGTTTCAAATTGTATTCAAAAAATGTTGACGCAAAATAACTTTCTTTTTTTTCTTTTTTCTCTAATACTTGGGAAAATCTTATCCCCTACAAAAACAATAGCAAGCACGCCATGTGCAGGATTCTGTGGATATTTTAACTAAGACTGGGACGGAAAACTGGTATATTTTCTAGAAAAAAGATGTTGCGCATTAACAATTAATTTTTTTCGAATAAAAAAAGGAAAAAACATCCTCATGCCCATCGCGCAAGACTGGAAGACGTGTACTTCCCTTTATTTTGCGTCAACATTTTTTTAATACAATTTGAAACAAAAAAAAACAATCTGGAACCGGCGCATGGCACCGGTCACCGTTACATTT